TTTCAGCCGCCCCATCCACCCAGTAGCCATGGCCGCCAGCCCCACCCCAACTTGCAGGCCCTCGTCTGCCCCTCCCTCGTTTGCTTTCTGACCCTTGACCTCCACTCCCCGTGAGGCCGGGAACTGGAAGTGATAATGCTCCGCCCGTAATGACCGTGAGGTCACTGGGCTCACTGGGTGGGCCCTGTCCCAGTGGGAGCCTGGCTCCTTCCTGGAACTGGGAGGCTGCAGGCTCCAGCCTGTTCTGCCCCCCTCCCCCAGCTGAGCACTGAGCTGGGGTCACTCAGGGCGGGGCCGAGGGCCAGCAGGGCAGGGAAAGTGATGGGAGAAAGCTGTTCTGGGCTCCGGGCCATCCTGAGGGTCCTGGGTCCAGATGGACGATGCCTGGCGTGACCAGGCGGCCTGGCTGGGGCCTGGCCAGAGCAGTGCAACCTGCTGGCAGCAACTTCCTGCCTGGGATGCACCAGCTGCCCTGCCCAGGACGGACCAGACAAATGGAGGGTGGGGTGGGGTGGGGTGTGGGGCTGCCCAGCCCTTTAGAGCACTCCGTCAGCCTCGGGCTGCCCCTCTCTCTTCTGTCTGGTCCCTGGGGCCCCCCAGGCCCTGGGCCCTGGCCTTGACCTCACCGACCACCCAGCACCTGCTCCCTCATTCCTGTGGGACTCGGTGGGCTGCCGGCCCAGAGGACATTGAAGTGACCACACTTCTCTGACCCCTGAGGGGCTGCCACCCTGGGCAGTGCAGGAGGTGCTGGTGCCGTTTCCAGGCAGGTTCGGGGTCCCCCGGGGGCTGTCGGGGCCACGGGTTCGGGGAGCCTGCCCCCGGCTGGCACCGCCCTGGAGAGTGCTGTGCCCTGTGTGCTTCCCAGGGCTCCGCCGGTGCTCCGGGAGGCCTTCCTGGCGGGCACACCTCCCCACTTAGTTATCGCTCAGAATCACAGATGCTCTATCGCTCTCCCCGGGGACCTGGGGTGGCTGCTGCGGCCCTGATCCCTCACCTGCCGCCCCGGCCACTGGGTGGGGCTGCCTGAGCCTCCAACCGCCTCCCAGGGGATCCCTCTGGGCCTCCCTTTGTGAGGGGCCGGGCTCCGGCCTGTGGCTCCTTCCCTCCTCTGCGCTCTCTCAGCGCCTCCCCTGCTGGCCTGCTGGTCCTCTGCCCTCCCCCCATGCTGGTGACCCCAACCCCAACTCCCAACCCACTGGCACGGCCGAGGCACCTCCGCCACCACCTCCCTGCCAGGGTGGGGCCGCACCCTCCTGTCCTGTGGGGCGGGTACCAGGTGCCTGGCCTCGCCTCTCATCTGCCCAGAGCGGGCGCCTACCCCCCAGCTTCCTGCAGGTGCCCCCAAGGTCGCCCTAGAACCCAGACCCGGGGACAGGTCTGGACCCTGCTCAGCTCCCCCCACCCCCGCGCCCCGCCCGCAGGGGGTCTGCCTGGGGGGTCAGAGCTTGGACTGGGTGGAAGTGGGGCCAACAGGTGTGGAGAGTGAGGGTGGGGCCTCATCCCAGCTGGAGCTGGTTGAGCCCAGTCAGCCCAGAGTCCCAGTTGCCTTGCGTGGGTGGGCGGGGCCAGGGGCACAAAGGCCCAGTGAGAGTGGGAGGGGGGGTGAGCCGGGACCCACCTGCTGGCTGCGCGTCGGCAAAGTCCCCAGAGACAGGTGACTGGGTGTGTGCAAGTGCCAGCCCTCCCGCCCTCTGCCTGCCCAGCGTCTGGGGTGGCCCCAGTGTGAGTCACGGGGCATCCTGTGACCTGAGGACGGGCACGGGGCGGGGGGGGGGGGGGGGGGGGGCTGGTGCGGATCCTGGGGACTGCCCCGCCCCCACCCGCCGGCCGGCTGTGCCAGGCTCCAGCCGGCTTGCGCCCAGCCCCCCTCCCTAGGAGCCAGTCATGTGCACTGATGAGGGCATGCTGATCCGGCCGGCCCTCCCTGTGTCTTCGCAGGGGGATGGGCTGGAGGACTCCGGGTCTCAGAGACAATGCCATGTTCCTGGGGTGACTGGGAGCCCTGTTCCCCCTGGGGTGTAGGGGAGGGGAAGCCATCCTGCTTGGGGCTCCGAGGGCCAGTGGCCCCATCTCCAAGCCAACTGGCCGGGTGGACACCTGTGGGCTCTGCTGACCACCTGTGCCAGGCCTTGCCCTTGGCTCCCGGGGACAGCAGCAGCCATCTCGCTCCCAGCTCTGCCTGACGGCAGCTGCTCCTGCCCTACCCCTGCCTGTGGGTAGCTGGGACGAGGGGCAGGGGCCAGGCCTGGACTTGCCCAGCAGTGTCTGTGTGGGCCGGGCTGAGGGGGGAGCCCAGAGCTGGGTGGGCGGGCGGGTGCCGGCCAGAGTGTGTGTCTGGCCATGAACGCTGGTGGTCCTGCCTGCGGCCTGGGCCCCGCCTGTCCTGTCCCTGGGCCCATGGCTCTGTGCTGGGCCGGCTCCGGCTCCGGCTCCTTCCAGGGGAGGAGGAGGAACCTGAGCTGGCTGCTGGTGTCCTGTGCCTGGGAGTTTAATATTTCGAGTTCCAGCAGGGCTGCTTCCATCTGCTGCGGGCGCGTGGCCGAGTATTCATTACCGCGGGGCCCACCCGCGGAGCCCAGCAGGCCGGGGGCTTTCGGCTCCAACGTGAATCCTGGAGCCTGTGAAGGGGCAGGGAGGACAGGTGCAGCCTTGACGGGCGCCTCCTCAGTCTGAATGGGTGACGGCCCTTGGGGCTGCTTTCCCATGCTGGCCTGTGGCAGGCACCTGGCTTTGCACCTCCGGCAGCCCTGGTGGTCCCTGCCGAGCTGGGTGGGCAGCGCCGTCCAGGGGCCCAGCAGGCTGGACGTGCTGAACCTGCTCTGGAGAGGCCCAGCCGGCAGCAGGAGCTGAGGAGGTGGGGCCCAGCGCCGCCTGATCTGGACTCTGCTCCTGTGCGAGCCAGCAGGGGGAGGAGGTGTGGCCAGCGCTCTGCTCTGAGGTTCCCTCTGACCCTTTGAGCTGCCTCTGAGGCTTCTGGAGACCCCGAGGGTGCTGGCTGGGCCTGTCCCTGGAGGGTGGGGAGTCACTGGGGTGATGTGACCCAGGGCCTGGGGCCTGCAGAGCTCGGGTGGAGGTCTTCTCGGAGAGGCAGCCCCTCCCCAGCCTCTGAAGGGCTGATGGCGTGTCCTGCCCAGCTCAGGTCTGACAGCCCCCTGTGCCCCTGGAGGCCACGGGGTCCCGCGGAGGACCTGGTGGCCGGCATCGTGGTGGCCGGCGCAGGCCCTGCCTGATGTGCCTTCTGCCCCCAGATGAAGATCTCCTTCAATGACAAGAGCCTGCACACCACGTTTGAGTACCCATCCGAGAGCTCCCTGGTGCAGGAGGCCCCGGCGGAGGCCGAGGGCGAGGAGGCGGCCGAGGAAGAGGAGGAGGAGGAGGAGGAGGAGGAGGATGGCTCTGGCTTGAACGGGGCGGTGGAGAAGCCCTTTGCGCTCTTCCTGCCCCGAGCCACCTTCGTGAACAGCGTGGCGCCCGACAGCCCTCGCCTGCCAGATGGCAGCTCAGGTAAGTGCCCGCCTGACCAGGTGGACAGCCCAGTCGGTAGCCTGGGCCGCATGCCCACGCGTTCACGTCCACGTGTGCCCTTGGCCTGCAGGCTTGTCCAGCTACACGCCCAAGCACTCCGCGGCCTTCAGCAAGTGGCAGGAGCAGCCTCTGGCACAGGCCCCAAGGGAGGTGGAGCCCTCGATGAAGGAGGTCATGGTGAGTGGGGCAGGGAGGGTGCCCAGCACTGGGTGGAGGCAGGTTCCTAGGCCTGGCTGCCCCACTGACCGCCTTCTTACCCCTCAGCTCACCCCCGCCAGCCACAACGACCTCTCCGACTTCCGCAGCGAGCCAGCCCTGTACTTCTGACGCCGGTCCCACCAGGATCCCCTTCTGCCCTGCCAGCTCTGCTCCCCCGAAGCCCACCCCTTTCCTGGGGCCTCCAAACCATGCTGCTGCTCCAGGCCTGAGCCTGGGCCACCAGGGGCCACGCCTTCCCTGGGGGTCTCGCTCTGCAGCCGCGATTTGGGGGCAGGGTCCTGCTGGCAGCCATGCCCAGTGACGCTGGGTGTGCCCAGGGCCAAGGACTGACTCAGCTGCCCATCCCCTGCAGGACTCCAGGCCCCCTCAGCCCCCCGCACCCCGTGTCTGAGCTCAGCCTGTGATGAACGGAAGCCTGTTCCTCCCTCTGATGGACTCAATAAACAGCACTGGACCAGCCCCTCCTCGCGTGGTCCTTGGCCTGAGCGGGTGTGCAGGGCGCGAGGTGCTGGCAGTGGAGGAGCCCACTGGGCTGTGATGGGGCCCAGCTTGGACCTCTGCGGGAGGGGGGCACCCCCACACCTCAGTGCTGCTTCTCACCCCCCACAGCCCGTTGCCTTCCCAGCACCCTGTGCGTCTCTCTGGGGCAGCCCCTGCCACCAGCACTGGCACAGCGGCTGGAACTGCCCTGGGGCCTGGACGGCGCGTGGCAGAGTGGGTGCTGTGGGTGTTGGGTGTGAAGGGACCAAGGGCAGGGCAGGGGATGGAGCCCAGGCTCGAGGGAGGAGTGTTTCCCTGGGAGGATAGGCCTGGTGTCTGGCTCTCAGCCTACCTACTTGCCAACCTCCCCCTCGCACGAAGCAGCTGCGGGACCTGACGGGCTGGCAGGTGGACCTAGAGGACAGGGGCATGCCTGGTGGGTGGCAAGGAAGGTGGAGGCAGAGACGGGTCATGGAGCCGAGGCACAGGCCTTGCTGGATGACTGGAATGCAGGCCCTCTCCCTGGGTCAGGCCCCGTGTGGACACCAGGCGACCAGGCGTGGCCAGACCAGCACCAGCAGGCAGAGCCCTCAGGACAGGCTGCGTGTGCTGGTCAGGTGAAGGGCCAGGAATGAGGAGAGGGTGGGGGCGTGAGGGTCGCAGGAGATGCTCAGGGACACCCTCAGCTCTGTCTCCCAGGGCAGAGGCCTCCCACCCCACGGAGGAGCCTCTCTTGATGGGACACAGGCAACGGGGAGGAGGGAGGCATGGAGCTTTAGAAAGAACCTTTATTGACAGTCACCGGCCTCTTGGGCAGGCTGAGGTGAAGGAGGCCCCTGCCGATGGCCTAGCCTGGGCACCTGCCGGCTGAGGAGCCTGAGGGCCTCCGTGAGGCGGAGACTAGAAGCAGGACTGTCCTGCAGTCCGGGGGGGAATGGGGCTTCAGGCCCCGGGCAGAGCTGACCCAGAGCCCGCACCCCCACTGCCTGGGTGAGCACACGGACAGGACCCCACCTGGGAGGCTGGGCCCCTGGGCAGTGGAGGTGGGGGCTCCACCGGAAGGCAGCTGCCGCCATGAACAAGGTGCTCGGCAGACAGACGCGCTGGGGATGGGCTGTGGAGGGAGCGGGAGGCGCTGCTGCCCGCACCGTCAGCTGTCCTTGCCAGCGCTGGCCTTCTGCTCCGTGGCCGTGGCCTTGGTCAGGTTCCCAGCCTCCCTCTTCAGCACACTGAGCAGAGTCTGCGAGCTCTCCAGGATCTGGGGGCAGACACGGTCTTGCTGGAGCTCCCACAGCCAACCCCCCCAGGGCCAGGGCCAGGCCGAGGGGCTGGGGGGCAGGAGCAGCCAAGAGAAGGGTCGGCAGCGCCCCTCCCACCCGAGTCCAGCCCAAAGCCCCTTTCTCACACCCAGGAGAGCCTCCTTAGCACTGGGACACACCAGGCTCCACGTGGCCCTGGCCACACCGCAGTCCTGTCACCTCTGCGTGGGGGCGCCCAGCCCAGAAACCCCTGGGCACACAGGCCGAGCCCCACCTTGAGATAGGCGGCCTCCGTCTCCGCGATGGTCCGATCAAACTCATTCCGAGAGGCGATCTTGCGCGCCAGGTTCTCGTTGACTCTGGCCAGCTTCTCGGTCAGCTGCCTCACCTCATTCTGCAGCCGCTGCTTCTCCTCCTCTTCCTGCTGGATCTGCCGGCACAGCTCCTCCCGCTTCTGGCACAGCTCCTCGATGCCTAGGGCGCGAGGGGCAGGCTGTGGGCGGCCCCTCCACCCACTCTGGACCCCTCGGCTTCGGAGGACACCAGGGTGGTGGGGGGCCAGGTGCGGCTGGGCCACCTGCCACGAGCCAGGCCAGGGTCCTACCTCCTTCCAGGGACCCGGGGCTCAAGGAAGCCCCGCACGAGACCCCCGGGCACAGGCCCTGGAGGCAGAACGCGCTCGAGCCATTGGTTCGGGCTCTCTCCGCAGACGCCCCGCACGGCGCGCCACACCAAGGCGGTGCGCGGACCTGGTCCCAACGGCCCCCGCCGCACCGACAGGACCACAAACTCGGTCGTGCGCTGCCGCCCGCCGCCGCCCGGGCCTGGAGCCGGCCAGCCCGCGCCCTCCCTCCGGTCCCGGGGCGGCGCGGCCGCTCACACTTGACCAGCTCGTTGTTGTAGTTCTGCAGCGCCGCGCCCTGCTGGGTCATGTCGCTGCCGCCGCCCGCCGCCGCCCCAACCGCCGCGCCGCCCGCCGCCCACGCCTGCGCACCACCGGCGCCCGCCTGGACGTCATCGCCGCGCGCCTCCCTGTGCGTCGTCGCCGCGCGCCTTCCTGTGCGTCGTCGCTGCGCGGATGCGTCATCACCGCGCGCGGCGCCCGGCGGCTCTGGGAGGCAGTGGGCTCGGATGGCGGCGGCGGTGGTGGCGGAGGACGGGCCCCCCGGGCCGGCCCTGGAGCTGCGCGGGGCCTGGAACACCGTGAGCACCGGGCTGGTGCCGCCGGCAGCGCTGGGGCTGGTGAGGCCGCGCGGGTTCCCGGCCCCTGGGGCGGTGGGCGCGCTGCACTGGGCGAGGGCAGCGCAGCGGGGCTTCCGCAGCCGCCCCCTCCGCCGCCTCCCTCCCCCACCGGCCCGCACCTGTCACCGCCCTCCTCCCCTGTACGCCGCGTTCACTCCGCACGTCCTCTGCCTTCCAGGCGTCCTCCCGGACCAGCGGCGCCGTCCCGCCGAAGGAGGAGGAGCTGCGGGCGGCGGTGGAGGTGCTGAGGGCCCACGGCCTGCACTCGGTGCTCGAGGAGTGGTTCATCGAGGTGCTGCAGAACGACCTGCAGGCCAACATCTCCCCGGAGTTTTGGAACGCCGTCTCCCAGCGTGAGAGCTGCGCGGACGAGCCACAGTGCCTCCTGCTGCTGCTGGACGCGTTCGGACTGCTGGAGAGCCGCCTGGACCCCTACCTGCGCAGCCTGGAGCTCCTGGAGAAGTGGACCCGCCTGGGCTTGCTGATGGGCACCGGCGCGCAGGGGCTGCGGGACAAGGTCCACACCACGCTGCGCGGCGTCCTGTTCTTCTCCACGCCCAGAACCTTCCAGGAGATGGTCCAGCGCCTCTACGGGCGTTTCCTGAGAGTCTACATGCAGAGCAAGAGGAAAGGAGAAGGGGGCACGGACCCCGAACTGGAGGGGGACTTGGACAGCCGGTATGCCCGCCGCCGGTACTACCGGCTCCTGCAGAGCCCCCTGTGCGCGGGCTGCGGCAGTGACAAGCAGCAGTGCTGGTGCCGCCAGGCCCTGGAGCAGTTCCACCAGCTCAGCCAGGTCCTGTGAGTACTCGCGCCCCCTGCTGGCCCTCCTGGGTCCCGCTGGCCTCTGCAGAGAGCTGGCGAGCTGGCCGGGTCTGTGCCATCTGTCCTGATAGCCATGGCCCCGGCTGAGGGAGGGCTGCCAGGGTCCTTGTGCTGGTAACGTGACAGCTTTTGCCCCGGACAAGGCCGTTATCTCGGTCATTTGCACTAGCCCGAGCTCCCGCTTTGCCTTTTTGAGTCCCAGGATTCCAGATGCCCTCCCAGCTCCGCGGCGTGCAGGCTCCAGGGGAGGGAGGCGTGCATCCTCCCTGTAGTTGTGAGAGGTTGGCTTGTGGCTGTTTCTTTGTGGCACAGAAGGCTGGCCGAGCAGGTGCCTCTCCAGTCCTTTGAGGAGGGAAGGACTTGTTTTTGGAGGCAGGTCCTGTCGTACGGCCTGCACCCTCTGGCCACTCAGGACGATGTCCCCCTGAATGAGGAGGCAGCAGGGTGGCCGTTAGGCAGGGTCTTGTAGGGGGCCCTAGGGCTGCCCTGTGCCCTGAGGGCTCCATCCCAGGTGCCGTGACACAGAAGCAGTCCTTGTCGCCTCTTCATGGGTCCCTTTGCCGTCGCAGACCAGGCTTTGGGCTAAGGCCACCAGCAGTGGCATCCGAGGTTTTGACCCCGAGAGCCACACGTGCTGTTGGCACGGGAGGGTCTGTCCCTGCCCAGGCAGCGTGGCTAGCTGGGGAGGGAGGGGTGCCCGTGCTGTGTCCCCCCAGCATCCCCGGGCACAGTGGGGTTGTGCCCTGCCAGGAGGGTTGTGGGGAGACGTGCGTGCATGTGTGTGTGCGTGTGCGTGTGTGCGCGCGCTCTGCGTGCTCCACGGCAGGGCTCTCCTCCAGGCACAGGCTCAGTCTGCTGGAACGAGTCAGCGCCGAGGCCGTGACCACCACGCTGCACCAGGTGACCCGGGAGAGGATGGAGGACCGGTGCCGGGGCGAGTATGAACGCTCCTTCCTGCGCGAGTTCCACAAGGTGAGCCCGGGCGGGTCCCGGGCGGGGGCGGGGTCCGGGGTGGGGTCCCGGGCGGGGGCGGGGTCTCGGGCAGGGGCGGGGTCCCGGGCAGGGGTTTCTGGCAAACCTGGCGCTGCCAGAGCTGGGGACCTGAGGGACCGGCCTCCTTGAGCGGAACCCGGGTGCCGGGTGGAGGCGTCCTCATGGGCTCCTGGGTGCCAGCCTGCTCAGCAGGTCAGTGTGACTCGGGGGGCTGGAGGCAGTGCCCGGGTCCGGTGTGTCCCAGTGAGGGCCTCGGGGTGCCCACGCTGTTGGGGGTCTGGGCCTGGACTCTGCTCTGGGTTTCATGGAAGAGCTGGGACCAGCCGTGAGGTCCCCCCGCTGCTCCCACTGCTAGTGTCCTCCCACCGTGTCCTAGTGTCGCTCCTGCGGGAGCCGATCAGGTGGGGGGGTTCGAAGCAGGTGTCCCCTCAGCCCTGGTCTGAGGGGGCATGGCCTCTGCCTGGCCCCTGGTGCAGTGTCTCAAGGTTGGGCATCTTTTGGGATGGGGTGTGTCCTGGGTCTTGGCGGGACCTCTGGTGTGTGTACTGCTCATGCTCAGAAACGCTCAACACGCCTTGAGCAGCTGCAGGTGGGCACTGGCTGTGTGGTCCCCGGGGGCCTGTGTGTGTCCTCATCCGGCCGCTGCTGCCTGTGGAGGGGCACGGGGTGCGTTATGGTGGACCCTCGCCGCCCCCTGGGCCATCCCCGGCTGGGCCCGGCCCGGCCCAGGCGCCGTCGGGGCCTGTCCGCCTCTGTCCCGGCCCCGCCCACACGCTCTCTCCCCACAGTGGATCGAGAGGGTGGTCGGCTGGCTGGGCAAGGTGTTCCTGCAGGACGGCCCCGCCCGGCCCGCGTCCCCCGAGGCCGGCCCCACGCTGCGCCGCTGGCGCTGCCATGCGCAGCGCTTCTTCTACCGCACCTACGCCGGCCTGCGCATCGAGGAGCTCTTCAGCATCATCCGAGGTCGGCGCCCCGCTCCGGGGGGGACCCCCAGCCAGGGGGGCGGGGGGGACGGTGCCTCTGGTGGCCACCCCCCAGCCGTGCTCCGGCCCAGCTCGCAGTGCCCGGCGGTCTGCCCCAGGACAGCGTAGTGTCCAGTGGGCGTGGCTCTGACCCTCCAGGCCCTGCCGCCTGGGTGTGTGTGTGGGTGCGAGGGCCGGCCTCTCCCTGCAGACTTCCCCGACTCGCGGCCGGCCGTGGAGGACCTCAAGTACTGCCTGGAGAGGACGGACCAGCGGCAGCAGCTGCTCGTGTCCCTCAAGGCCGCCCTGGAGACGCGGCTCCTCCACCCAGGTATGGGCCGACCCCACTGACCTCAGGGTCCAGACCCGAGGCTGAGAGTCCAGTCTCCCGGCCACCTGCAGGGCTGGGGGAGGTGGGTAGGAGCAGCTTTGGGGGTCCCTTGGGGGGGGTGGCCTGGTGGTGGGGCAGTGCACAAGGCCCTGGCACAGACTGCTTGCTGGTGGGGGCTCAGATCTGGGGAGTGGTCACCTGGCCCCTGGCTGGCCGGTGGCCATCCCGGAAGCTGCTGTCACCGCCAGCCTCCTCCCCCGGCTGTAGGTGTCAACACGTGTGACATCATCACCCTCTACATCTCGGCCATCAAGGCGCTGCGCGTGCTGGACCCCTCCATGGTCATCCTGGGGGTGGCCTGCGAGCCCGTCCGCCGCTACCTGAGGTGAGTGGCCGGCTCCTGCAGCCCCGCTCCCGGCCCCCGTTCCAGCTGAGCGGCGCCGCCTCTGACCGGGCCCCAGGCTGGCAGGCGGGGCCGGGGCCCAGCCGGATGGGGGGCCTGCGTGGGGGCTGGGCTGGCTGGGGCTGCGGTGCCTGTGGCCTTGCCAGGAAGGGCTGGCCCTGCTCTCCTGGTCATCTCACTCCTCTCGCAGTCATTTCTTTTACGTTACCTGTTTTCATTTGCCTGGTGCTCGTCTTGGACCTGCGGGCGGGCCTGGCTGCGGGGGAGCGAGCACGGGGGCCGGTGGAGGCGGGAGGCTCTGAGGCCGTGCACACCGGCAGGACCAGGGAGGACACCGTGCGGCAGATCGTGGCCGGGCTGACCGGGGACTCGGACGGGACCGGGGACTTGGCCGTCGAGCTGTCCAAGACGGACCCGGCGAGCCTGGAGACCGGCCAGGACAGCGAGGACGACTCGGGGGAGCCCGAGGACTGGGTCCCCGATCCTGTGGACGCTGACCCAGGTCCGCACCCCAGCCCCACCCGCTGTGCGAGGGGGAGGGTCCGCTGGGCGCCGCTCTGGTTTCCAGGTGGTCGCCACGTGGTCCTGAGGCTTGAGGGGTCAGAGGTCAATGGCTCCCAGCCTGGCACCGTCCTGCCTCGCTGGCTCAGCGGGGGGAGGGCCTGCCGTCCGGGAGGTGACCCCCCCCACCCCCCCCCCGTCCGCAGGGAAGTCCAGCTCCAAGCGGCGCTCCTCGGACATCATCAGCCTGCTGGTCAGCATCTACGGCAGCAAGGACCTCTTCATCAACGAGTACCGCTCGCTGCTGGCCGACCGCCTGCTGCACCAGTTCAGCTTCAGCCCTGAGCGGTGAGGCGCGGGCGCGGGCGCGGGCGCGGTGGGCAGGGCCCTGCTCGGCCCGTGTATGGCAGGAGGCCTGGGTCCCAGCCCGGGGCTGCCCGGGAGTGGCCCGTGGTGGCACTGGGCCCCCCTGAGCCGCATCCTCCCAGGGAGATCCGCAACGTGGAGCTGCTGAAGCTGCGGTTCGGCGAGGCCCCCATGCACTTCTGCGAGGTCATGCTGAAGGTGGGCGCTCCCCCTGCCTCCCCGCCCGCCCCGCCCGCCCCTGGCCCTGGGTGAGACCCCGCCCCCCGCCCCCAGGACATGGCCGACTCCCGCCGCATCAACGCCAACATCCGCGAGGAGGACGAGAAGCGGCCGCTGGAGGAGCAGCCGCCGTTCGGGGTCTACGCCGTCATCCTGTCAAGCGAGTTCTGGCCCCCCTTCAAGGACGAGAAGCTGGAGGTGCCCGAGGACATCCGGGAGGCCCTGGAGGTCTACTGCCGGAAGTACGAGAAGCTGAAGGTACTGAAGCCGCCCGCCGCCCGCCCCGCTGAGGGCTGGTGTGGGGACAGCCATTTGCTCCGCTGAGGGCTGGTGGGGGGACGGGGAGCAGCCCGGCTGAGGGCTGGTGGGGGGACGGCCATTTGCTCCGCTGAGGGCTGGTGGGGGGACAGCCATTTGGTCCGCTGAGGGCTGGTGGGGGGACGGCCATTTGGTCCGCTGAGGGCTGGTGGGGGGACGGGGAGCAGCTCGGCCCCAAGCAGCTGTCCAGGGACCGAATGGCCCTGCACCACCACAGACGGGGCCTCGGAACCAGGATTGCTGCCCGAGTTCTGGCTTCCGAGGATCCAGAACCAGGGTCCACGAGGGCCCTCCTGCCTCTCCCAGCTTCTGGCGTCTGGTGCAGGGGCCGCCCTCCGGCCTGTGCTGCCACCCATGGCCTCTCGGCCGGGGCCCACATCGCCCTCAGGACACAGCCACACTGAGCGTGACACGCCGACTGCGTCTGTAATGAGCCGTTTCCAAGTGCGGCCGCCTCCCGAGGCACAGGGGTCAGGACGTCACATCTCAGATCCCAGTTCTGCCCCGAAGTTCTACCCTTTGGGCCCCTAAACGTGCCTCTCGCACATGCAGCCCCAGGCTTACCTCCTCCAGCTCCCACTCTGAGTTCAGAACCTCTCTCAGCACCAACCCCCCACCAGAGCCGGTGAGGCGGAGCGGGCAGTTCCTCTTCCCAGGAGCCGTGGGCGGGCGGGCACCTGCCCTGGTTCCGAGGGAGCATGTGTGACGCTGGTCCTGAGGCTGGAGGCTGATGGCGGGGCCCTGGCTCTGCCCGCCGAGCACTCCTGCTGTTTCCCCCCGACTCAGCCTGGGCAGCCTTTCCCCGGGAGCAGACTCTCAGGACCTGTTGGCTTCACACGGGGCGTCCACACCAGAGGTGGCTCCGCTCTGGCTCTGTCTGCGGCACCCAGTGCCGGCTTCCCCTCTCACGAGAGGCCGGCTGTACCTCCCGCCCTCCGCCTGGGAGTCACAGCTCAGCCTCCAAGCTCGGCCCCTGCACGTCTGCTCCCACCTCTGCGCTCCGGTGTGGCCCTTGTCCTCCCAGCCCCAGCGCTTCCTGGCTGGTGGCCACGTCTGTCTTCACGTGGCTTTTTCCCGTGTCCATCTGTGTGTCCTCCCTCGTACGAGGACTGCGGTCGTGCCACGTGAGGGCCCAGGCTCCCCAGTCGCACTTGCCGTGGCCCGTGTCTGAGTGAAGCCACCCAGACCCAGCCCGGCCTCCGCAGCGTCCCTGAGCAGGCGGGTGCTCGCTCAGATGGGGGTGGAGCCCGCCTGCCTGCGCTCCCTGCCTGGCAGGCCGCCTGCGCGGGCTCCGTCAGGCCTGTGCTCCTGGCCAGGCGCTCACCCTGCCCTCCGCAGGCCATGCGCACCCTCAGCTGGAAGCACACCCTGGGCCTGGTGACCATGGATGTGGAGCTGGCCGACCGCACGCTGTCCGTGGCGGTGACCCCCGTGCAGGCCGTGGTCTTGTTGTACTTCCAGGACCAAGGTGAGCGGCCACGCAGGCCGGCCCTGACGCTGCTGGAGGGTGGGCGGGGCTGGGGTGACGGGCAGAGGCGGCGTCTGGCCCCGCCTGCCCACTGTGCCTGGCGCCGGCCCTCAGCCAGCTGGACCCTGGAGGCGCTGAGCAAGGCGGTGAAGATGCCGGTGGCGCTGCTGCGCCGGCGCATGGCGGTGTGGCTGCAGCAGGGCGTGCTGCGCGAGGAGCCGGCCGGCACCTTCTCGGTGGTGGAGGAGGAGCGGCCGCAGGACCGCGACAACATGGTGCTCATCGACAGCGACGACGAGAGCGACTCGGGCATGGCCTCGCAGGCCGACCAGAAGGAGGAGGAGCTGCTGGTGCGGCGCGGGGCGGGCGGCGGGGCACCGGGCGAGGTGACGGGCAGCTGGGGGCGGCGGGCTGGGCTGGGCTGGGCGGGGGGCCGGGCGGTGGGCAGCGGCCGAGGCGGCCGGGCTGACCCCGCGCTCTCCCCAGCTCTTCTGGACGTACATCCAGGCCATGCTGACCAACCTGGAGAGCCTGTCGCTGGAGCGCATCTACAGCATGCTGCGCATGTTCGTGGTCACGGGCCCCGCACTGGCCGAGATCGACCTGCAGGAGCTGCAGGCCTTCCTGCAGAAGAAGGTGCGCGACCAGCAGCTGGTGTTCGCCGCCGGCGTCTACCGCCTGCCCAAGAGCTGCAGCTGACACCCCGGCCCTGCCCCTGCCGGCCGCGGCCTCAGGATGGACAGCCGCCCCGCCCAGCCCCCACGCCCCTGCTGGTCCCGCCCCCCACCCTGTGACCTGTCCCCTGGCCACCCCTGCCCGGTCCCCAGAGGACACAGTAAAGCAGCTGGTTCTTCAACCCTTCCCTGCGCCGCTGGCTTTGTGGGCCCCTCGTGACCTGGACATTTCTCTGAGCCACTTGACCCAGCTCCTGGGGCGGGGGTGGGCGGGGGGGGGGTGGGCGGGGGAGGGAGCCTGGGAGAGACCTGTGCACTCGGCGTTTGTGCTCTGCCTGCAGGCATTCCTCCTGTGGCCATTCCTGAGGCCCACTCGGGCCCTCAGCCACCCCCACCCGCCAGGCCTCCAGCTTCAGCCTCACTCCTCTGGCCTCGGGAAGGGGCCTTCGGTGCCTCCCTCTGCCCGGCCTGGGGGTCCAGCCCCCGAGCACTGCGCCGAGTCCCAGGGCCTCTGCGGGCAGGTGGCTGTGAATCCCTGCTGAGCTGGGCCTTCCTGCATCCTGTGGGAGGGGCTGCCTGGGACATGCCCTCCAGGCCAGCAGCGCACCTGACCAGCGCAGTGCCACACACGGGACCCGGGTGCAGACAGGCCAGGCCCGGCCTCAGCTGCTCTGGGCACAGCCTCCGGTGCCAAGACCTCAGGCAGGCCCCTCCCTGCGCCTCCCGGCCTCTGCACACGGCCAGCTTCGCACGGGCCCAGTGCATCTCCGACTCGACCCTCCTCTGGGCTCTGCCTGCCACAGGCTCAGAGCTCTAGCCTTGGAGGCTGTCACTCGGCAGCCCTGCCTGTGGGTGTGGAGCCGCTGAGCTGCGGTCAGCAGAGGGCTTCCCGCTCCGGGCCCAGCGGCCCTGAGGCTCCCAACAAACACAGCATCTGCTTGGCACGGGGCCGGGCGCCTTTGTCATCCTAACCAGGATGCAAACCTGCCGGACCGGCCTGGCCGGTGACAGTGCCAGCCCCCGGGCCACCTGCACACCTGCCCTGCGTCTCGGTGAGTGCGGTGTGACCTGTGTCAGGTCACACAGCGCTCAGCAGGTGGAGAGGTGTCGGGAGCTGCCAGGAGGTCCCCTGAGCCCCACCAGAGGGGGGCGCCTGTGTCGGTCAGGGAGGTCCCAATGACCTGTGGCCAGCTGGGACCCAGCCATGCCCCCCAGCCCATGGTCCGCTGTGGGGCGGGCACTAACTCTTGCTGCCCGGGTGTTGGCAGAGGGGCCGTGTAAGGCGGGTGGGGAGGCGGTCAAGGTGAACTCGGCCGTGCCAGCTGGCAGGCGAGTCCCCTGGGCAGTGCTGGCCTGGACTGCAGGGGGCTGGCAGGGACCAGGCCCTCTGAGGGGCCTGAGCCCAGGACACTGTCCGCAGCCATTTCTGAGTCGCCTGCCTCTAGAGTAGAGTGACCTGTGGGCACTGCCTCCCACCTCCTCTGGGTGATTGGGGACCCCCTGGGGCCCTCAGACCTGGGCATCCCTGGGTACGGGCCGGACCCTCCCCCAAACAGCCAGTGCGAGGGCACAGGGCACAGGGCTATTCCCTGGCCATCCTCGGGCCCTGCTCGACCGGCCTGGTCACCAGGCCCCACCTGAGAAGCGGCCGTCCTGAGAGAAGCTCCTGGGAGCTGCGGTGAGCTGCCTGGTCTGGGGCCCCGTCTCCACCACCACAGGGCCTGCCCCGCCCCACGCCCCACAGCTGAGGTGGCCTCTGCCTCCATCTGACGGGACCCTGAGGACTCCCAGGCCCTCCCACCCGCCCTGCCTCAACCCCACACCCAAGGGCAAGTGAGGCTCAGGCTGGGCCCTGCCCCCACCCGCCCTGCCTCAGGGCCTACTGTGAGGTCAGCGCCTGCCCCGGGTTCCGTCCAGAGGTGCGTGGTCGGCTGGAGGCTGGACATGGCCTTCTGGCCGCAGCCCGACGCCTGCCTGCTCGGCAGCCCCCTGGGCCTCACATGTTTGTCCCTTTTGATCCCGGCTGCAGGTGCCGCTCCCGCCCCTCGCCAGCGGCCTTGCGGGCCCACCTCCCCGTGGTGGGCACTGGGGGAGAGGGAGGCCGGGGGTCCTCACGGGGGTCCTGTCTCTGCAGCTGGAACCCGCTGCGACTGCAGCCTGGGCCTCAGCCGGGAGGCCCTCATCGCGCTGCTGGTGGTGCTGGTGGGCATCAGCGCCAGCTGCTTCTTCGCCCTGGTCATCGTGGTGGTGGGCGTCATCCGAGCCAGGAGGTGTGTGTGCCCCACGGCCGGGGAGGGCCCCCTGCCTGCCCAGGGCCCTGGGTCCCACCCGGAACGGGAAGTCACAGGGCTGGGCCTGGCGTTCCCAGACGGGGCTGGGGGGAGCGTGGGGGGCAGTCCAGCTGTCTGGGAGTCACACCCGCCTTTGTCCCCCCAGTGAGATGTGCCCCGGCACCAACATGGACACCATGGAGGCCAGGTGAGTGATGCTGGGGGACCCCTGGGTGAGCGTGCCCTGCTCCCTGCTCCCCGCCCTGCTGGGGGGGCACTGACCGGCCCGTCGCGCAGTTTGGTGCAGGAGGACCACCTGGACCTGCAGACGGTGCAGGTGGAGTCCAACCTCATGGACTCTGAGGAGCTCGCCGTGGAGGACGAGGGCCTGGCCCTGGAGGAGCCTCTCTGCCCGCCGCTGCCCGAATAGGCGGTGGCCGCCGGGAGGGAAATGAAGTCCTATTTACTGTTCTCACCGTCTCCTTCCCGCCCCCCGCACCCCCCCCCCCCCCGTGATGGGGGTGGGCCCCAGAACTCAGGCACCTGCGGGGCCACCCTCCCCCCTGGGCTGGGAGCCACAGCGGGTCCTCTACTTCCTCCAGCGGAGCCTCAGCCCAGCCCTGAGGCTGGAGGGCCCTGGCCCCGCCCATCCCTCGGAAAACCCCAGGGCAGGTGCAATCAGCCGTGAGAATTGGTGGTATCCCCGCCCGACCCACAGTCTCCTTGAATTCCAGGGGAGTCCTTGGGGTGGGGTGAGCAGCCTCCCTCCCCCGCTGGGCCTGTCCCCCAGGCTCAGCGCCCCTTCTCTCCCGCCCCACCCCCCATGCTCCTGCAATACCAGTCCTGCACTTCCGGGCGGGACTGTGTGTCTTCACTGAGCCCCCAACGGGGAGAGACCGCGAGGAGCAGGGCGCACTGGGTCCCATTGCCATTGGGGCGTCGCCTCCAGGCGGGAGTTGTGTGTGGTGTCCAGCTGCTCAGGCCTCGGAGGAGCTCGGGGTGTGGGGCGAGGCCGGGGCGGGGACACCTCGCCTGCGCCGCTCCTGGCGCGGGGCCGAGAGGAGCCGCAGCTCCGGGACAGGTGGCCGGCCGCGCTGGGCCCTGGCCCCGTGCCTAGCGCCCGCCCCAGGCCGGCCCGGCCCCGGACAGGAACTGCCGGCGTTGGGGCGGGAGAGTTCATGTTTGCGCCGCGCAGAAGGGACGGACGGGCTCCGGGAACACACAGCGGAGGGCGCTCCCGCCGCGGGTCCCCCGGCGCCCCCATGCCGAACGCCTCCGCTGTCTCCTGGCCGCAGCTGTGGCTGCTGCTGCTGTCGCCGTGGCCGGTCCGGGCTCCAGCGCCGGCAGCGGCCACCCCGACGGGGACCCCGATGGGAAGCCCGGGCTCCTCCGCCTGCCCGGAGGCCTGCGCGTGCGCGCCGGGCGGCCAGGTCAACTGCTCGGGGCGCGCACTGTCCGAGGTGCCCGACGGACTGAGCCCCCGCGCGCGCGACCTGCTGCTGGACCGCAACCGCGTGCGCGCGCTGCCGCCCGGGGCCTTCGCGGGCGCGGGCGCGCTGCTGCGCCTGGACCTGCGCGACAACGGGCTGCGCCGGGTGCACGCGCGCGCCTTCTGGGGCCTGGGCGCCCTGCAGCGGCTGGACCTGGGCGCCAACCAGCTGGAGGCGCTGGCGCCCGGCACCTTCTCGGCGCTGCGCGCGCTGCGCAGCCTCTCGCTGGCGGGCAACCGGCTGGCGCGCCTGGAGCCCGAGGCGCTGGGCGCGCTCCCGCTGCTGCGCGCGCTCAGCCTGCGGGACAACGAGCTGTCGGCGCTGGCGCCGGGGCTGCTGGCCGGCCTGCCCGCCCTCCGCGCGCTGCGCCTGCGGGGCAACCCCTGGGCCTGCGGCTGCGCGCTGCGCCCGCTCTGCGCCTGGCTGCGCGCTCACCCGCGGCCCGCGCCAGGTGAGCCCGGGGCGCCGGCGGGGCGGGACAGGGCGGCCCCGCGGCCGCCCGGCCTCCGCCTAACGCCGCGCCGTGTCCCGCAGAGGCCGAGACGCTGCTCTGCGTGTCGCCGGGGCGCCTGACCCTCCGCCCCTTGACGGCCTTCCCCGACGCCGCCTTCAGCCACTGCGCGCGGCCGCTCGCCCCGCGGGACCTGCTGGTGATCTACGCGCTCGGGCCCCTCTGCTTCCTCGCCAGCCTGGCCGCCTGCCTGGCGCTGGGCGTGGTGGTCACCGCCTGCCGCGCGCGCCGCCAGCGCGCCGCCGCCCGCGCCCCGCGGAGACGACCTCCCAGCGCCGGCCCGCGCGGGGCGCCGCCCGCGGACCCCGGGAACCCCGCCGCCGCCGCCGCCGCCGCCGCCGGGACCTGAGTGGACGCGGCGGCCCGCAGCCTCCCCCATCATCGCCCTCCTCCCGCCCCTTCCAGGGTCAACAAGCCACGCAGACCAAGCTGTTGTACATTCTTTTAGGCATCACCATGGCACACACTGGCCGGAGCGGCGCGCGGCGCTCCGGGCTCGGGGAGGGTCAGCGCGCATCGCGCTCAGGCTGCGGGGACCGCGCGCGCGCACCGGACACGGCGGCTGGGCCTGTACAGGTGGCGGGCAGGGTGGAGGGTAGCCGCAGCCAGCGGTGGGGAGCCGTCCGGGGCTGCTGGCCGGAGCGGCGGAGGGAGGCGCAGTCAGTCTGGAGGAGCAGGTCGGAGCGAGCGAGCGGGAGCCCCAGGGAGCCCCTGGGAAGGCTGCCGCTGGGGAGTCAGGGTCTGCAGTCAAGGAAGGGCAGGGCCGGTCGGCAAAAGGGGTCATGGGGAGAAGGGGAGGTCAGAAGAGGAGAGGGGGGAGCCAGGCTGCTAGGAGCCGCCAGGGGCCACAGGCCCCACACTGGGGCTCTGGGTGTGGCCCAGGAAGAAGGGGGCTCAGTCTCTGCTCCCAGCCTCTCTGCCTGGGGCCAGGTTCGCCCCTCTCCCTGCTCAGAGACCCAGCCCTGCCTCTGCCGGAGCACCCCACGGCCCTGCCCAGCCAGCTCGGCTCTGGCGCGTCTGGGTCCAGCAGGGCTGCCCGCCGGGCAGCAGGGCGGACGGACGGGCAGGAGGCCGGGGTGGGCAGTCTCGGGCGGGCGGGCTTCCCTCAGGCCTTCCCGAGCAGCAGGACCCATCAGTGTCCTCGGCCGGGCTAACGGGGCAGGTGGGCGCCTCCGGGGGCTCACACCACGGTGCTGACCGAGGGATCTGAGAGGTTGAGCGGGCCCGTGATATCAGTGGGATGGTACTGCTGCAAAATAGAAATACACAGACAAGGCGGCCCGTTAGCCGGCGCTCGGGGGCACGCGCGGGGCCTGGGCGGGTGGGCCAGCCGGCCGGCCGGCGGGCAGGCGGGCGCGGCCTGGGGGAGGCTGAGGCGCTCCTCCCCCTGACCCCGTCGTGCTCCGGGACTCTGCGTGGGCCAGGCCGCGGTCCCGTCCGTCTGTCTGTCTGTCTGCGGGGGAGGGGCGTCTCAGCTCTCCCTATGACGGGCACACATCTGCAGCTGGCCCTCCTCCCTCTCAATAGCGCGTCGCGGCAGCACTGTGTCTTTTTGGTTTTGCAAAGCGCCGCGTCCACCCCCGGTGCTCTATAAATAAGAACCAACAATCAATACCCGCGGGCCCCGCGGCCACCGGGACCCCAGCCCTGAGCGCCCAGTGCCACCCTGGCCCGGACCGGCCACAGCACGGGGCAGAGGATCTCAGCAGCCGGACCGACCCCCCATCCCCAGAGCCCCCCAGACCTCCCTCCAGCAGGTGCCCGCCCGAAGCCGCATGGAGCCGCTGCCCTCCCGCCGGTCTCCCCGTCACCCTGCAGGGAAGGGCCAGGCCCGGATGCCGGGGGGGGGGGGGGGGGGTCGGAGCTGGCCTGGGGTGGTCCCTGGTGTCCAGGGAGGCTCGGGTGTGTCCAGGAGGCCCTGAGAGTCTGAGCTGCACCTGGACCAGGTAGGGGCGGGCCTGCCTGCTCTGGGGGCGGGGGCAGCACGCAGTGACACCCCAGAAGCAGTTTCACCTGTGGGACTGGGTGCTCCTTGAGACTGCCTTCCCAAAGTGCTATGGGGGGACACGTCACCCCTGGACTACCCACCCTCACCACTCTGGGCCTGTGCACCCCCTCTTCTCCCTGCCTGCCTGGTGGTGCCCTGGCTTGTGCCCTCCCCCCTTTCCCGGCCTGAACTCCAGCCCCCCCAACTCACTACCCACCAGCCCCTGAGGAAGAGGGGCAGACGGGCCTCATGGGGGGGCTTGGTGCCCTCTGGTGGCTTCACCTTCAATTCACATTGTGCCAAGCCCTGGCTGTGCCTGGGGGCCTGCCCTCCTCCTGTGCATGGGGCAGGGTGCCAACCCACTGCTTCCTTGGAGCACGCTCCTGTGGGCTCAGTGCCTCCACAGCCCCCTTCCCGCCTGGGACCAGGGTGCGCCTAGCAAGACTGGGTCGGTTTGGGAAGCTTCTGGTCCAAACGTGCACAGATTTTTTTGGACAAGATGCCCACGGCAGGAGGGCAGGGAGCCCGGGCTCAGACAGCAGGCCTGGCTCTGGCGTGGCCTGTGGGCCAGGAGCTGAAGTGCTGGTCTCCTCCAGGGAGGCCTCTGTCTGGGGGCCTCTGTGCCCCTCGCTCTGGAGGCCACCCCCACCCGTCCTCAGACCCTCCTGGGGAGCCCTGCTCCACCTGGGGTGGGGGCTGCCCCCTCTGGTCCAAGCCACTACCTGCCTGAGGGTCCCCTGTGGCTGGGGGCCTGTGCCAGCTCCAGGCCCCAGCCGTCCACCCCGAGGGAGCCAGGCCCGGCCCCCAGCCCGGCCCACACAGAGACCACATGGAGGGGATGCAACAGGCATGGCTCTGGTGAGACAGGCGAGACGTGTCCGGGTGCAGGGCCGGCAGCCGGACAGATGGACGGATGGGACGTCACAGCCACCCCTCCCTGGGAGTCGAGGGCGGCGGGCCCCGGGAGAGACTGGGCACCTTGGTGTGACAGTGAGTGGAGCGGCCACCGGAGGGGGCTCGGGCTGACCGGCTGACCAACAACATGACACAGCTTCAAGATGGCGCGTGGCTCATGGATGGGGGACTAACGCAGAGACACATGGGGACGAGGACCCGTGAGGGCCGATGGGGGGGCCGGAGAGGGCCCGGAGAGTCGGAGAGAGAGACCTAGTGTGCCGGGTGAGTCGGATGAGGCAGAGCCACAGCGGTTGGGATGGGTGGTGGGTGGGATGAAGGGGGAGGGCACGCCTGATGCACGGGACACAGACACGCAGGGCGAGAGAAGAGTCGGAGACGGGGACGGGCGCTCTTCCCCTTACCGTGTCTTTGGAGGACCTACGTCTCTTGAAGCTGGAAGCCAGGGTGGAGGTGATAGCCCTAAAAGTGGCTTTCTTTTTAGGGTCGGGCTCTGCTCTACCACTCTTTCTATCCTAAAATGAATATGTATAAGTGATTAGACGGCTAAGGGGGACGGCCACACCTGCCCTCGCTGCTCCTCGGGGGCCGCTGGCCGGCCGCTCGGCCCTGGCTCCTGCCTGCCTCCCTGCGCGGGCCGCCGGGCCCAGAGCGTGCCCGCGGGCGCAGGCGGCCTCCGCTCCTGCCCGGGTCCGGCCTGACCTTCCTCGCGCTGGGGCTAGACTCGGGGGTCCCGTCTGGCTCTCTTCCTGGGAGGTCGCCTGGCTCCCTGGCAGTTGTCCCGGGAGGAGGGGCCCTCGGCTCTCCGGCCGTCCTGACCCTGCGGGGGCCCCTGGAGAGTCAGGAAGGGGCCGCGGGGCCAAAGGTGGGCGTCCGGATGAATCGGAGCGACAGACAGAGGCACTCCGGGGACCCTGGCCTCGGGTCTGTGCCCGCCAGTAAGAGCAGCGACCGGGTCCTAAGAGCAAGACGGGCAGATGAGAGGCGGGGGCTCCAGCCACCATCCCCCCCAAGCCCTCCCTCTCTGCTCTGCCAGCTTCACCCCGGACAGACTCTGGAGAGGCACCCAGAGAAAGAGAAGAGATGCACAGGCTGACCTCTGCCAGCCCCTCACTGCCTGCCCCGCCCCAGGTGGGCATGGCTGCCCCTCATGCAGCCTGCCCCCTGCTGGCAGCCAATCCCAGCGACGCAGCCTGGGCAGCGGGCAGGGCCAGCTGGACCCCACGGAGCACAGGACACAGCAGGCAGCCAGGAAGGAGGCCCGGGCGCTGAGGGGGGTGCGGGCGGCAAGGGCGGAGAGGCAGATGCGTCTGAGACTCACGTGCTACCCCGGGGCGGGTCCCTGTCTTACCCTGCCTCAGTCTGCCTTCCTACGGGATGGCGCCGGCGGGCGGCTCTGGAGACAGAGGCCGGGCAGAGGCTCGGAGCGGGCTCGTGGCCTCCCTCGGCCCGGCCCAGCGGTGGGCGACCGCAGGCGGCCCCCACCGACGCTGCCCCTGGCTGAGGCTCCCAGCTCCGGTCCGGCTCCGCGGCTCCGGGAGCCAGGGCCACGCTCCGGCCTGTGGGGATGGAGGAGGGCTGGGCCGGGCGGGCCTGGGCGCCAGGCCTCGGGGTGGCTGCCCTACCTGCAGGTTCTTCCTCCACACGTTCACCGCGGCGAAGGCCAGCTGCATCTGCTTCCGGCGCGCGTCCTTGTGCCGCTTGTAGGCGATCTCGATGAAGATGAGGAAGATCCCGGCCACGATGCCGCCGGCCACGAGCATGAAGACGCCTGCAGGCCAGGCCCGGCCTCAGTGCTGGCCGCAGGCCCCGGGGGCGGGGGTGGGGGACCCCATCCAGTGTCCTCAGGGGCGTTCAGGGGGAGCGGGCAGACCCACCTGCCATGTTCTCGAAGGTGAGGGTAGCAGGGGCGTTGCTGCGCGAGTCACACTCCTGGTACCGCACCCAAGTCTTGTCCAGGTCTTCCATGAAGCCGTTCTCATGGGACCTGGGGGTGGGGCAGCGGTGGGGGCGGGGCCTATGCTGTGGGGCGGGGCTTGGAGACGAGTTGAGGGGCGGAGCAAGAGGAGGGGCGGGGCCTGAGCGACGTGAGTTTGGGGGCGGAGTGGGGCATGAGGCGGGGAGAGGGGGGGATTGGGGTGCGAGTTGATGGGCGGGGCGGGGTATGCTCTGGACCGGGATGGGGAGGCTCTCTGAAAGCGAGGAGGGGGGCGTGGGATGAGTTGAGGGGGCGGGGTCTGAGTAGGCGAGTTGATGGGCAGGGCGGGCTGGGCCGGATGAGTTGGGGGTGGGGCTTTGGCGCTGCGGGTTGATGGGCGGAGCTGGGGCGGGGCTTGAGGTTGAATTGGGGGTGGGGCCTTGAGGGGCGGGGCTTGGGGCTAGTCGATGGGCGGGGCCTGAGCGGAGCGAGCTGAGGGGCGGGGCATGGGCGGGGCGGGGCCCAGGGCGAGTTGAGGGGCGGGGCGGGGCGGGGCGGGGCGGGCTCACTTGAGGATGGACAGGGACACGTTCTGCTTCCAGGGGCTGTCCTTGCGCATGCCGATGCCGAAGCCGGAGCGGAAGAACAGCTCGCCCGTGGTCACCAGGTCGCACTTTTGCGAGGCCTCGAACTCTAGCACCGCCGAGTCCCAGATGAAGGCGTGCAGCTTGCTGCGGGCAGGGTCGGGGTCACAGGAGCCCTCACAGCCGGCTGCCCTCCGCCCGCCCGGCATGCTGTCCCACCAGCTGGAGCCTCTCTGTCTGCGCCCCCGGTTCCCAATCCCGCTGGGACCCTTGCTTTTCCTTAAGGTGGACGCCTGCTTGCCCGGCCCCCTACACACACACGGGCCCCGCACGCCCGCCCTCACTTGTCCCGCACGGCCTGGATGGCCTCGGCCGCGCTCTCGTAGTTGTGCTTCTCCATGTGGCGGTACATGGTGCTCAGCTCCACCTGCCGCCGGAAGTAGATGTCCACTGAGCTCTGCTTCACCGTCGCGTAGATGAACTTGTCGGAGGGGTTCCTCAACTGCGGGGTCAGAGGTGGGCTCGCGGCGGCTCCCCGGCCCCGGCCCCCCTCGAGGTGACCCCCGCGGGCCTCCCGCCTCCGCCCCCGGAGGGCCGGGCCTCACCCGCGGGTCGTTGATGCCGGTGATGCGCTCCTCAGGCCGGTCCAGGACCAGGAAGGCCGCCAGGTTGGCGGTGTAGGAGGCCACGATGATCATGGCGAAGCCGGCCCACACCATGCCCAGGATTCGCGCCGAGAAGCTGCGGGGGGCGCCTGGGGACGGGGCGGCAGCTCAGCTGTGCCCGGGAGGGCGGGCGGGCGGGGCGGCGAAGGCGCAGGACCCGGCAGCCTCACCTTCCCCGATGCCCGAGTTGAGCAGCACGCCCCAGGAGAACCACATGGCGGAAGACAGGGTCAGCGCGTCCTCCTCCTCCTCCTCGCTGTTCACCTTGAACCGGCCGAAGGGACTGCGGGGCGCAGAGGGCGGGCGGGAGAGGGCGGGAGAGGCAGCCGCCCGCCCTCGCCGCTCTGCCCGCCCCGCAGGGGAGGTGCGGCTCCTGGCCGCGCTCACCTGAAGCGGTCCAGCAGGTACAGCATCACGGCCACCACGTGCACCGACAGCCCCACCAGCAGCCACAGCGTGCTCTGGAACGGCTGCATGAACGAGTCCAGCGTGCTCCGCGGGATCTCCTGCGGGGGGGGGGGGGGCGGGAGCGCGTCAGCGTCGCCGGGTGGGACACCCCGCCCTCCTGCCTGCGCCCCTCCAGAACCCCCTCTCTCCTGCCCCCGCCCCCCCAGGTCCCCTGCCCTCCTGCCCGCCCCCCCCATAATCCCCTCCTTCCTGCCAGGCCCCCCCAGGCTCCCCTCCCTCCTGCCCAGGCCCCCCCAGACCCCCCTCCTTCCTGCCCGGGCCCCCCCAGGCCCCTTCCCTCCTGCCCGCGCCCCCCCAGACCCCCTCCCTCCTGCCCAGGGCCCCCCAGACCCCCTCCCTCCTGCCCGGGCCCCCCCCAGGGCCCCCGCCCTCCTGCCCGCGCCCTTCAGGACCCCCTTCCTCCTGCCCGGGCCCCCCCAGGACCCCCGCCCTACTGCCCGCGCCCCTCAGGACCCCCTTCCTCCTGCCAGCGCCCCCCCAGGACCCCCGCCCTCCTGCCGGGCCCCGCTCACCTTCTTGACCAGGATGGTCAGGCCTTGGTACTTGAAGGGCTTGGAGAACTCGATGTACTGGGCACGCTCGTTGTTGATGGTCAGTGGGGCCACGATCATGTCCGCCTGGCCGCTGAGCAGCTCGCCCATCATCCCGTTCCACTCCTTCTTGTTGCTGTTGTTCACCTGCGGGGACGCAGCCGGTGGGGTGCGGGGCCCGTGCACCTCAAGGGTCCCCCAACCTGAAGCCCCGCCCCCTGTGTCGCTCAAGACTCCACCCAACAGAGTTCCCGCCCACTCCTGACTCTGCCCAATAGGAAGGCCCCCTCGCTCAAGACTCCGCCCTGGCTGAAGGCCCCGCCCACTCAGGACCCTGCTGGTAGCAACCCCTTTCACCCCGAAGGTCCTGCGGGGTCCCCGGCCGTACCCGCTCCTGCGTGCCGAACTTGCCGTCGGCCACCAGGTGCACCTCGTAGGTGAAGTTCATGGTCCGCGCAAGCTTGATGAGCAGGTCGATGCAGAAGCCGTAGCAGCACTGAGGCACGGTGTGACGCGCTGCGGGAGGAAGGGGCGGTGACCACCGGGCTCCCCACGGAGCGGCCCGCCTGCCCCGTGCCCGCCCGGCCCCCACGCACGGCTGCCCGGCGAGGTGTCGTTGGGCCCCGTGCAGATCACTTTCTTGATAGGATCCCCGTTGACTGTGGACTCCTCCTTGCACGTGCCGTCGCTCATCGTGGGCTTGACGTACACGAAGGGCTCCTGGTGGATGGTCACGATCTGGGGGAGGGGAGACCGAGTCTGGAGCACCTGCCCTCGGCCGCGGGGGGTGAGAGGGTGGGGAGGTCCGGAGCGGCCTCCTGCGATGCTGACGCGCTCCCCCCCCCCCCATGGGCCCAGACTCCTGGAGCCCCTCCAAATCCCACATCCTGACGTTCCCCCTCCTGCTGCCCAGGGGCCTCCCCCTCCCCAGCACCGGCCTCAGCATCACCTCCCTGCTGCCCCCAGGAGGGCCCAGACCCAGCACCCCGGAGGGACGGGGTCCCCTAAAACATGACCCTTCCTTTTGCCCCTTGCCCTTCGGTTCGTGGCTCACACCTCGCTCCCTCCATAAAGAAGCCGCTGGAATGGCCAGTCTGTCCCGGGCACCTTCTCTGGCGTGTTGGGGATGAGGATCTCCTTGCCCCAGCCCAGAGTTGGGCCCATGAGGACAGGGCCATGTCCCCTGGTATCCCTCTGAGCGGGCACCCGGTCCACAGCCCGCAGTTCCTGTGTCTGATTGCGCAGCCTCCCCAGCAGTGGGTCTCTATCTGGCCACCTCCCTGCCATGCCTGCCTCTCCCATCCGGGGCTCGCTGGGGCTCATGCTGGGCGCTCTCCCCTTCCTGCAGGGGCTTGTGGGCTGGGGTGGGGAGGACAGGTCCGGGCAGAGGGGTGACAGGAGCAAGGGAAGGCTACACTGAAGCTGAGTCTGGGGCGAGCAGGGATCCCTGCGGCGCCCTCTGCTGGGGAGATGGAGGAGCCTGGGCCTGCAGCCGGGACAGGCGTAGCCTCAGGGGCAAGGGCAGCATTTGGCTTTCCCCTTGGGGGTCGGGAGTCCCTGAAGGAGCTTGTGAGTTTTTAAACATTCACCATGTTTTTCTCTTAAGCAACGATAACATTTGTGTTTTTTAAAAGCCAGGGAGCCCTGGCTGGTGTGCCTCAGTGGGTCCCGTGCACCGCAATGCTGCCAGTTCAACTCCGGGTGAGGGCACACCCAGGTTGGAGGTTCAATCCTGGGTCGGGGTGCAGACTGGGGGCCACTGATTGCTGTTTCTCTCCCTCCCTCCCTCTCTAAAATGACTAAGAACATATTTAAAATAAATAAATTAAAAAGTCAGTGGGGGAAAAAAGTACAAAGTACAAAGCTGCAGCCTAGATGGGACCGTGTGGCTGTTGGTGTTTTCAGACGTTTCAGCACGTGGGGCCTGGGCGCAGGGAAAGGCCCCTCGGCCCGTTGAGGAGGTGGTGACCCTCAGGCCGGTGCTGGCCAAGGACTCCAGTGAGAGGCCCTGCAGGTGGGCCCAGGACACAGGCAGGGCCGAGAGGCAGGGCCTGGGACTCGGGGAGGAGGTGTTTGGTGATCTAACACACTGGCTTGGCCCCGGCTGGTGTGGCTCAGTGGATAGAGCATCAGCCTGCTGCTGAAGGGTCCTGGGTTTGATCTCAGTAAAGGGCACAGGCCTGGGTTGCAGCTTGATCCCCTGTAGGGGTGTGCAGGAAGCAGCCGATCCATGGTTCTCTCTCATCATCGGTGTTTCTGTCTCTCTCTCCCTCTCCCTTCCTCTCTAAACTCAATAAAAAAGTATAATATTTTATTTATTTATTTATTTTTATTTTTATTTTAAATATATTTTATTGATTTTTTACAGAGAGGAAGAGAGAGGGATAGAGAGTTAGAAACATTGATGATAGAGAAACATTGATCAGCCGCCTCTTGCACACCCCCTACCGGGGATGTGCCCGCAACCAAGGTACATGCCCTTGACCAGAATCGAACCTGGGACCTTTCAGTTTGCAGGCCGATGCTCTATCCACTGAGCCAAACCAGCTTCTGCTAAAAACGTATTTTAAAGAAGGAACATTGGCTCAGTGTGGGTCAGCAAGGGGAGGGCCTCCAGGAGAGCCACCGCAGGAGGGAAGGGGCCCAGGGGGAACCCCAAGTCTCTGGGGAGCGTCGGGCCGAGGAAGAGTAGCTGTGAGGATGGAGGCCGTGGGGCGGGGCTGCCAGGGCCCCAGGGAGCACCCAGGAGGGAGTGGACCCCATGGGAACGCGGGAGGCCGGGCGGAGAGGGCAGTGTGATCTGGTCACGCAGGAAGCTGCGTTGGGGCTGGCTGGGGTTGCCCACAGGAGAGATGAGCAGAGTGGAGGGGGCAACTCCAGGGCCAGAACCTGGACGGAGAGCTGAGGCTGCAGCCCACAGGGTGGCCACCCCCGCCCTGGGTCCCCAGCAGCTCGTCCTCAGAGAAGTCCTGTCCCTCACAGCGTCCCTGGACTTAAGTGGGGCTGGTCAGCAGGGCCCTGGTAGCTTCCCCCCTCCCCCATCACTGCCCCTCCCCCCGCCATCCGGGGCTCCCTGTGCGGAGCCGGGTGTGTGCGGAGCCGGGTGTGTGCGGAGCCGGGTGTGTGCGGAGCCGGGTGTGTGCGGAGCCGGGTGTGTGGGGAGCCGGGTGTGTGGGAGCCGGGTGTGTGCGAGCCGGGTGTGTGTGGGAGCTGGGTGTGTGCGGAGCCGGGTGTGTGTGGGAGCTGGGTGTGTGCGGAGCCTGGTGTGTGCGAGCCGGGTGTGTGCGAGGCGGGTGTGTGCGGAGCCGGGTGTGTGCGGAGCCAGGTGTGTGCGGGAGCCGGGTGTGTGGGAGCCGGGTGTGTGCGAGCCGGGTGTGTGCGAGCCGGGTGTGTGCGGAGCCGGGTGTGTGTGGGAGCCGGGTGTGTGCGGAGCCGGGTGTGTGTGGGAGCCGGGTGTGTGCGGAGCCAGGTGTGTGCGGAGCCGGGTGTGTGCGAGCCGGGTGTGTGCGGAGCTGGGTGTGTGCGGAGCCGGGTGTGTGCGAGCCGGGTGTGTGCGGAGCTGGGTGTGTGCGGAGCCGGGTGTGTGCGAGCCGGGTGTGTGCTGTCCAGTCCCCGCTCCCTTTCGGCACGGTCACTGGCTGCACCGGCCCTCCCCGGGGTCTGCAGCTGGTAGGGGTGTCCAGGGGGCGGGGCGGGAGGGGCGGCGGGCCCACCTTCAGCCTGGTGGACATCTGGTAGCCTCGCGGTTTCTCCGTCTCCCCGCCTGGCCAGATGATCTTCCGGTCGTTGGGGATGACCTGGGGGTGGGAGTATGAGATGGAGGGTGGCCACGCAGGGGTCTTGGCCCCAGGACCCTAAGGCCCCAGCCCCCACCCCCTCATGACCCCCACCTACGTGGGTGCCGTTGTAGATGCCCACTTGCACCAGCTTGCGGTTCTGCAGGTTCATGATGCTATAGTTGGCGAACTTCCGGTCGCCGTCCTCATTGAACTCCACGCGGCCAGTCACCCCTTCCGCGTACTTGGAAGACATCAGCACCCTGGGAGGCAGGGGCTCCCCGTGACTCCTCAGGGCCTCCATCCCCAGCCTCCCCAGGGCCTGGCCCCGCCTCGTGCCCAGCCCTGGCAGCCCCTGGAGCTGTGACCTGGCGGGAGGGCGCACGGCACACGGCCACAGAGCAGCTCCTGGAGCCGGCCCACTGTGAGGGCTCCCTGTGGGCCGGGACATTCTCTCCGCACAGGCCTGTCCTCGCTTTACTGCCCGGAGGCAGACACGCGGGAAAGGACAGAGACCGGTTTTCCATGGGGAAGGCACGTGAGGTCCTGTCTGCGTGTGCACACCACGCATGTGCATGTGGCATACCCAATGGGACCTTCTGTGTGCCCATGTGATCCTTGGTATGCAATCCCAAGCATGCACATGTGGCATGTGTTTGCTTCATGTCTCTCTGAGCTGTGCACATGTGTGTGCATGTGTGTACATATGCCCTACATCTGCAGCTGTGTGTGCTCCTGCTGTGGACACGGTGGGCTGTGGCTCACCGTGCAGCTCAGTGCTTGTTACTCAGCTGGGGGTGGGACCTAGTGATGGGCTGGGCCTGCCCACCTGAGGGCTGCAAGTTAATGCCCGCATCACTGCGGCTCTCTCCTTGGATCTGCGCCCCACCCTGGCTCTCTCTCTACAGGCTCGCAGGGGTGGAGGGGAGGAAAGGGGGGAGGAGGGACCTGGGTTAGGTGACTGTGTCTGTAGTTTGTGGGCAGCCAGCTGAGCTAGACCAGCTGAAGAGCTGCTACTTCCACCTCCTAAGAGCCCTGTCCAGCCGAAACCGGTTTGGCTCAGTGGATAGAGCGTTGGCCTGCGGACTGAAAGGTCCCAGGTTCGATTCTAGTCAAGGGACGGGCACATTCCCAGTAGGGGGTGTGCAAGAGGCAGCTGATTGATGATTCTCTCTCATCGATGTTTCTAACTCTCTATTCCTCTCTCTTCTTCTCTGTAAAAAAATCAATAAAATACCATGTTTCCCCCAAAATAAGACATCCTGCTAAAATAAGACCTACTTACAGGTTTCCTTCTGAGTGAAATATAATGCATCCCCCCGAAAATAAGGCCCCCCCTAGGCTCTGTCTCAGAATGCTATTGCTAAACACGAGAGATTTGGTCCACTGATTCTGAAAGAAATGGAGTCACAAGAAATTCACCAGGAAATTCAGGAATTGGATTGTTATGATGATGTTCCAGAAGATGATATGATTGTCATTGAATAAATGAGTAAATTCTTGATACTGTAGGATTCACAGTTTGTCTGGTTTGTGTTGACAACTACCGTACTACTGAACCGTATACAGGTAATAAATTTCCTTTATTTTCATTTAACAATAAATGTGTACCGTATTCTTCTTCATGGAAAAATAAGACATCCCCTGAAAATAAGACCTAGCGCATCTTTGGGAGCAAAAATTAATATAAGACACTGCCTTATTTTCAGGGAAACAGGGTATATTAAAAAAAAAAAAAAAAAAAAAAAGAGCCCTGTTTATCTCGAGAGCGGCCCCGCCCACCTCTTGAAGAGCTGACCAATCACACTGAAGCGCCCCCCCCGCCCACTCCTAGAGCGACCCGCCCACCTCTTGAAGAGCTGACCAATCACACTGAGTGGCCCCGCCCACCCTGAGAGGCCCCGCCTACTCCCAGAGCGGCCCCGCCCACCTCTTGAAGAGCGGCCCGGTTTTCCAGATGTTGGTGTTGCCCACGCAGCCCCGCGGCGGGTCGGTGATGTTCTCCTTCTCCAGGAGCTCGTGCACAGCCTGGGCCACCACGCCCACCGCGTCGCTGATGTGGGCCGACTCGTTCTTGCCGTTGATGAGCTGCAGCCCGATGATGCCTGCGGGGAGCGAGGCTTAGCGCCGGGAACCCCGCGTGGGGAACCGCCCGCCGCCCCGCAGAGCCCTGCACTCACCGTCCGGGGCGTAGCGCAGGGCGTTCCCGGAGATCTCGCGCTCCCCCACCAGCCACACGTACCCCGACCCCGTCATGTTGAGCATCGCGGCGGCGCGGTACACGGTGGCGGCGTCGTCCTCGCTGTGGGGCAGACGGGGGTGATGGGCCGGGACTCCCGCCCTCCCCTCCCGAGGCTGGCGGCTGGCAGCGGCTCCTCCGGATTCCTAGGTCCCCTTCCGGTCCCTGCCTCTCCCCCGCCCCTCCCCTGAGGGGGCCTGGAACCACCGCAGAGTGAGGCGGGGTGCGGCCCAGACCCTAGAGCTCCCCAGGCGTCTCTTGCTGCCCTTGTCCAGCAGGTCAGGGTAGCAGGGATGGCGATGGATCATTTTCTATCGATCACTCAGTCGCCTGTTAGGGGGCACTGTTCTGAGTGCTGCATAAGGGGCAGGCTTCCCCCTGTGTCAGGCGGGGAAATGGGCACCGGGGCTGGTGAGTGCTGATGAGGGCTGAGTCCGGCTTGGGCCTGAGCCGCTCACTCCGGTGCCCCTGCTCCCCTGAGCTCTGGGACCAGCCACACGCCCTCTGGCTCCCACGGCCACGTTGGGGTGAGGGGCTGGGGGCTCTCAGCTGGTCGGGAGCTGGTGGGACCCAGAGCCTGGGATCTGCCCTGGGCATCACAGCAGAAGCCACAGCGAACAGGAGGGCTGCTGCTCTCCCTCCGGAGCCTGGGCAAGTGGCTGGGCCCTGCCTGCCCCGGGGCCGGGACCCCTGGCCCGACAGAGCACATGCCATGCCTGGGCACACACGTGCTTCTGAGACCTCGGAGCGTCCTCACCCCCTGGGCCGGGGCTGGGGCCGTCTGGTCAGGACAAGGACCTGGGCTGATGGGGCTGCGGGGGGGCTGGGGGGCGGGCGCTGGGAGTCCTGCCGGCTGGGCTGGCCCCATGTGGACCTGGCCCGTGCAGGTCCCTCATAGGGGCAGCGGGTTAGAGGCGATAGACAGACGCCCAAGGGCTGAGATGCCTAAGGGGTCTGTCCCAATGTTCTCAGGGAATAGCTGGTGGAGATAGGAAAGCCTTCGCTCTAAATGGCAATGGTAAGCCCAAACCGGTGTGGCTCAGTGGATAGAGTGTCAGCCTGAGAACTGAAAGGTCCCGGGTTCGATTCTGGTCAAGGGCATGTACCTTGGTTGTGGGCACATCCCTAGTAGGGGGTGTGCAGGAGGCAGCTGATGGATGTTTCTAACTCTCTATCCCTCTCTCATCCTCTCTGTAAAAAAAAAAATCAATAAAATATATATTTTAAAAAAAAATGGCAATGGTAGCGCCAGATGTGAGCAAAGCCGAGCAGGGCAGTGGCACCTGATCGCCTAAATGAGAGTATTCTGCCACAACCACCAGCAAAGGCAAATCCAAACCGTGGGTGTCGGGCACAGTGTGCCCACCAGCCTGGCAGGGCCCGTGATGTGGGCAGTGGAATGACACACCTAAGCGTATATCGTGTAAGTGGTTCATCAATAACAGCGTGGACAGAAGCCTGGCCAGGTCATCAACCTGGTTCATGAGACAGCCGTCTCAGCAAAAATCCCAGGAAGAGAAAAAGGAAATGTCTGGAAATGAATCCTCTGCACTTGGTAGAAAATTGGTAAAAAAAAAAAAAAAAATAATAATAATAATAATAATAATAATAATAAAAATAACAATAATAGCCAGTTTGGCTCAGTGGATAGAGCGTTGGCCTGCAGACCGAAGGGTCCCAGGTTGGACCTTAGTTGTGGGCACATCCCCAGTAGAGAGTGTGCAGGAGGCAGCTGATGGATGTTTCTCTCTCATCGATGTTTCTCTCAATCCCTCTCCCTTACTCTGTAAAAAAAAATCAATAAAACATTTAAAAAATAATAATAAGATTAGCTTGATGGGGTTTCTCTACAAAACCCATGAAGCAGGAGCCAACACATGTCAGACCGGAGTGCCAGGGTCTCAGAGACGGGTGCTGGCACTCCCGGGGGACAGTGGAGGACAGCCTGCACTGGTTGTCTGGGGCGGAGGGCTCTGGGGCTGTTCGGTCCTCTGGGTGAGACTGGCCTCTGCCCCGAGGAGCCAGCATGTGAGCGGAGGGGCCTGCCAGCCCGGAGGCCTTGCCTGGATGGATTCAAGAGGGTGCTGGTGGGTGGTGGCTGCTGTGAGTGCTGAGCCTTGGTGGGCAGTGTACCTACCTGTGCGGGATGTATGCACAGAGGTAGCATGTGGTATGGTGCGTGTGGTTATGCACACACCACGCACACACACATGTACTGTGTCACAATGGAGTACATACGTGTACTTGCACATAGGTGTGTGCATGACTGTGTATTCATTTGTGTGTGATTTGCCTGCTTAAGCACACATGCATTATCTTGTGTGCATGTGTGTATGATGTCTATGTGGTACCTGTGTGTGAGCATATGCACACATTACATATGATGTCTATATTGCACACGTGCATGTCTATAGGTATGTGTATGTGTTCACATGTATACGGTATATGCATGGTGTGTGTTCATGTATGTCTATGTGTTTGGCATGTATTGTGTGCCCATGGTATCTGCATGTGTGTGGTAGTGACAATGGTGTGGATATGCTGTGCACATGTGCACCGTATGACAATGGTGTGTGCACATGGGTGTGCACGTGTGGTGTGCACATAATGTGTGTACATGCGGTGTACAGGGTGTGTGTTTGTATGTGTGTGGTGTGCACATAATTCCTGTGAGTGTCTGTCTGCTGTGACTGCGTCCCCTTCTCTGGGCTGACAGTTACTTTCTTTGGAGCCACATCTGGCAAACTGACTAGTGACACAGGACATGACCCTCCTGGGCCGTCCCCTTCCGTCCTGCAGCGTGTGGTGCAGGGTCCCAGGGAGCAGAGGGAAACGGAGGAGATGGCCCCCTCCCCCGAGGACCTGGGGTGGCGGGGTCCCAGGTTGGCTCATGTGCTGCTGGCCACTCGGTTACAGCGTGCGGATGGGCAGGCCTGGGTGGCACGACCTTGGCCTTGCCAATGTGCACCCAGTTGAACAGCTGTGTTTGAGGTCACGGCTTCCGGTTGTGCTCTGGGTGAAGGGCCTGATCTAGTCACCTGTCCACTAGCCTGTCTGCCCATTGGTGCACCCACCAGCCCCTCACTTCCACCACCACAGCCTCCCAGCTCCCTCCAGCCCCAGGACCAGTGAGAGTGGAAGGAATGGGGAATAAAGGAGGGCGTCCAGGCGGGCTTTCCCTGGGCGGGGCTTGTCCTGGGTGGGTTTATTATGGGCGGGGCTTTCTCTGGGCGGGGCTTTCTCTGGGCAGGGGAGGTCCAGGTGGGGCTTGCTCTGGGTGGGTTTTCTCAGGGAGGGGCTGTGTGCCCTCTTGACTTTGCCTGGGGGGGGATTTTTAAACCCTTCTCCGAAGCCCCCCCTCCCCAGGGGCCTGGGGTTGGACGGTCAGCGTGGACAAGCCACTTGTGTCTCTTGAGACCATGCTCACCACTGTCAGGGCACCTAGCTCTGAGCCCGAGGCTTGCTGACAGGATGTGCCAAACAGTCTCTGTGCAAGCTGTCCCTGCCTGGGACTCAGTGTGCCCGCCCACTCGCCTGCAGGGCAGCAGCTTCGGGGCGCCCTCTGGGCCGGTGGTCCTGCTGTTTCTCTGCCCTCGGCTGTAGCCTAGCGGTGGGCCCACCGCCCCCTCCTGGCTGCCTCTTCTGGGTGCTATTCTGGGGCCTGGACCTTCCCTCCTCAGGAGGCCCAGCCCAGGCAAGGGGAGATTTTTACTGTCCCTGGTCCCTGGGGGGGGGGGGGGGCCCGGGCTGGGCCCTGCCAAGGACACCCTGGGTCCACTGTCCCTACGTGCTCCCCTCCCCTGCCGCCTCCTCCCACCGCTCCAGGCCTGCCCCTGCCACAGGCCTTCCCGCTGGACACACCGACCCCTGAGCTCTCCCTGAGTCCGGTCCCAGTGGCAGCGTTACCCCACCTGCCTTCCTAAGAGCAGGAGCTGGTCCTGACGCCACCCAGCCCAGCTCAGGGCAAGGGGTGTGGTGACTGGGGCAGGGAGAAGCCAGGGAGGGTGGGCAGAGAGGCGTCCCCCTGTGAGGTCTCCAGGCCACCAGGTCCCCGTGGAGGGCAGTCTATGGCAAGGGCCCGTGGGACGCTGAGGGGCAGTGGTGCCCCCAGCCCTGGCCCAGGTGGGGGGCTTCTGGCCCGGGTCAGCCCCGGGAGCTGTGGGGGCGGAGCCTCACCTGGCCGAGAGGATGATGACCCGGGCCTCCAGCTCCCGCGCCTCCATCAGCAGGGCCGTCACGTTCTTGGTCCCCGGGTCGAACTGCAGCACCTTCTCTGCCTGTGGTGTGAGCGGGGGCGTCAGCGGGCGGCCGGGCAGGGACACAGCGCCTCCGGGGCGAGCGTTGGGCCGCAGCCACTAGGGCCGCCCAGGCCTGCACCTGCCACCTGCCCTGTCCACGCGCCTTCCTGGCGCCTGGCCTGCCTGACCTCGTCCTTCCTGCGCCTGCTCGCCGGCCTGCGCTGCCTGCTCTCAGGCCTCTCTCTCTGCCTGCCACTGTGGTCCTCTGTGTGCCGAGCATGCAACCGATGGGCCGAGACGCAGAGAGCGTGCAGCGGACGGACACCGGGCGAGGTGTGGATCGCACCGGGAGCGGAGACGGGGCGGACGTGGCCCAGACCACGGAGGTCCTCTCCGCCCGGCTCCGCTGCCCCGCAGAGCAGCCCGGACCCCAGCGGGCAGCTGGCCGGGCGAGCTCCCTCCTGGGTTCCACGCGGACACCCGGGGGCCCCGTGATTCGCATGCACTTCCTCCTCCTGCAGCGGCCTGCTCTCCCGCAGGCCCCGGCCAGCGGGACCAGCGCAGCCTGCCCGCTGCTGCCTGCGGCTGCCTGCTCCTGACCTCGCTGTCACTGCTCGGCCTGCGCTCGCCTGGGCCCGGGCCGGAGGGCGGCCTCGGGCCGGGCGCCGGCCAAGCCCCTGCTGTGGGTGGCGTGCAGTCCATGCATATATACCTTGGGTCCGCGCTTGTTGTCATAGGACAGTTGGTCGAGGTTGTCATAGTTCCTTTTTTTACTCTGATGAATAATGTGCACAGAGAAAATATGCAGACACAGAAGAAGATTATAAACGGTTGAAAATGACGGCGCGAAAGCAATCACACCACCTCCTCGGCACGTCTGCAGATGGCGCGTACCTGGAGCTCGCAAACACCTGGGCCCGGGGCGGGGCAGGGCCGGGGTGCTGGGGACAGGGCCGTGGAGCTGGCTCTCGAATCAGTCATACGTGGGAGGAAGGCGCCCCTGTTCCCCCCATGCCACACGGATCCCAAGGGACCCCCTCTTCCCCCCGTCCCCACGCCGCCCCGCCCGCCATGCACCTGCTGTGCCCACGTCAGTCCTGAATGGGGTAAGCAGCCTCTCCAGGGCCTGCCCTGACTCCTCGCCTCCCCACACCCTCCCGGGCCTTCCTAAGGGCCCGTGCTCTGTCCTCAGTGACTCACTGACTGCCCTCTGGAGAGGAGAGGGATTGTGTACACGTGTGTGCACAGGGAGGCAGGCCCGTGCCTGGGAGCATGAGCCTACGTAAGCCATAGGGCGTGTGTGAGGGCGTGTGTGTGTGTGTGTGTACATAGGAACATGTGTGTGAGCTGGTGGGTGAGTGTGTCCAAGGCCACATGCCTGTGCCCCGGTGCCCGGTGGCTGGCCTGAGGGAAGGGTCTGGGGAAGGTGTGGAGTGACCGTGAGGGTGTGCATGTGTGGCTGGTGTGGGGGTATCTGGTGAGGGTGGTTGTACACTGGGCATGTGAGTGTGTGAGACCCTGGTGGGTTCGCCACAGGACCTGCTTGCCCAGTTTGGGGTGCTAGCAGCCAGCCCTCCCTCCCAGCCTCAGCTGACCCCCAAATAGACACCCCCAGGCCCTCTGGGTCTGCTCTCAGGTTCACCCCCCAACCAGCACCCACTCTTCCTTCGGGGTCTATGGCACTAAGCCTGCTGACGCCCTCTGACACCCCAAGAACATGCTCCCCCACCCCCTGGCCTGCTTCACTACCCCCTCCTCTCTGCCTCCGCACTCTGGGCCAGCTTGGCGCTCCCCCTCCCCGGGGCTGGGGCCAGTGCTGAGGGCCAGGCTCTGGCTGCGGCAGCCTCTCCCAGGGCCTCTGGTGAGCACCAGGTGGCAGGGGGCGGGCAGTGAGGGGGGTCACCTGGACCCCCAGAGATTGCAGTTCTTGTCACTCAGCAGCCCTACAGCGTGGGGGCGGGGCTGGGAGGGGTCGGTGTACCCCAGGAGCAGGTGTCCCATGGCCTCCAGGCGGAGCCAGCCTGTGCTGGGAGGTGAGAGAGGGGGTGGGGCCTGATGGGGCAGAATCCAGGTGGAGATTGGTGGAGGGTGATGGGCGCTGTGAGGTGGAGGGAGGGGCCGTTGAATGGTGGCAGCTGGGAGGCAGCCCGGCTCTTTGGGAGGGGCGGTCCCTGAGCAGTGCACCCCGTGGCAGGCTGCTGGGGAGGGGCAGAAACGGCCCCAGTACTGAGGGCAGAAGGAGGTCCAGACACGGACCCCGGAGGGTGGGCTGGGGACTCAGGGGCAGTAAGGAGGGTCCAGACGGGGACCCAGGGGGGCGGGCTGGGGGACTCAGGGGCAGGAGGGTCCAGGGGACCCCGGAGGGTGGGCTGGGGACTCAGGGGCAGGAAGGAGGGTCCAGGGGACCCCGGAGGGTGGGGTGGGGGACTCAGGGGCAGGAGGGTCCAGGGGACCCTGGAGGGCGGCGGGCGGGTGTTTGCGGAGCTCCAGGCGGCCCTGCCTCGCCCGCTGGGACGGACACAGAGGAGATTCGGACTCGATGGCAGAAGCGAGTGAAATGAGCCGAGGACAGGCCGGGGCGGGCGCCGGACGAGGTGCTGGCATGCAGGATGGAGAGAGACAGCGGGCGGCGGCCGCCCGCGCCCACCTTGGACTCGCGCTCCTCCAGCAGCGTCTCCAGCCGCTTCTGCGCGGCCCGGCCCTCGTGGTCATCGCTGACCAGCAGGATGATGTGGTTCCAGCTGTAGACGCGCATCATCTCGAACCACACGCTGGACTGGTGGGAGTAGGGCGGCACTGTGCGCAGGAAGCTCAGGTGGATGCTCTGCGGGGGGTGGGGGGGGCGCGGCTGAGTGTGCGGCTCCCCCTGCTCCCCCCTCCTCCCCACGGTCGCACCCGCCCTCAGCACCCCACGGAGCCGGCGGGGGGTGTGGTGAGCCCCACCTCCCCACGGCCAGCTGCCGCCACTGGGTGATGTGGGCTCAGAAAATGCTCCCTGAGCCTGACTCTGGCCGGCGTGGCTCAGCGGTTGAGCATCGACCTATGAACCAGGAGGTGAGGGTTCGATTCCTGGTCAGGGCACAGGCCTGGGTTGTGGGTTGGATCCCCAGTTGGGGGCGGGCAGGAGGCAGCCCATCCGTGATTCTCTCTTATCATTGATGTTTCTCTCCCTCTCTCTTCCTCTCCGAGATCAATAATATCCTATATAATAAAAGGCTAGTATGCAAATCGACCAAATGGCAGAAGGACCAGTCGCTAAGATGCACACTGACCACTAGGAGGCAAACACTCAACACAGGAGCTGCCCCCTGGTGGTCAGTGTGCTCCCTCAGGGGGAGCTCCACTCAGCCAGAAGTCAGGCTCATGCTGCCTTTTCCTCCTCCTCTGCAGCAGTTGGACATCCCCCAAGGGCTCCAGGACTGTGAGAGTGTGCAGGCTGGGCTGAAGGCCCAACACCAGTGCACAATTTCATATGCTGGGCCTATAGTAGCTACACTAATAAGAGAGAAATATGCAAATTGACCGTACCTCCAGGACACCCATCAGACAATCAGGAGTATGCAAATTAACCCATCAAAGATGGTGGGTTAATTTGCATATGCAGGTGTGGCAGGGCCGGGTAGGGCAGGACACTTGCTATGGGGAGGGTGGGGAGCAGAGGGAGCTACAGGAGCTGCACTCTGGCCGGGAGCGAAGACTTGCAAAGGCTCCAGGGTGGTGGCTGGGAGCGAAGCCAGGGGAAGGAAGGCCTGTCCTTGCAGGAATCTCTGTGCAATGGGCCTCTAGTATATATATATGGTTCTCCCTGACATTCAGCCTCTCAGATATCCCCACTGGGCTTCCCCCAGGTCCTTCCCAGTGTCAGGTGACCAGGATATGTCAGGAGGCTGTGCCTCCTGCCCTGTCCTTGGGCTCAGCATCTCCAGGGGGGGAAAGGGGAAGGGGCCCCATCTTCCCAGCTGGTCCCCGGACTGTCCAGGCAGCACTGGCCGCCCCACTGGTGACTCTGCGACCCCCAATCTTGTGGACCTGGGACCTCCAGACTGTTTTCCACCTGCTCCCCCGTGGCCTGGGTTAGTGCCTTGGAGCCCAGGGCAGGAATACCTCTTCAGCCCTGGCTGGTTGTCCCAGTGGTTAGAGCATCTTCCCACAGGCCAAGAGGTCCTGGGTTCGATTCCCAGTCAGGGTACATGCTCTGATTGCGGGCTCAATCCTCAGTGCAGGAAGCAGCTGATCAATGATCCTCTCTCATCATGGATGTCTCTTTCTCTCTCTCTCTCTCCCTTCCTCTCTGAAATCAATAAAAATATACTTTAAAAAACAAGAATGGTCCTTTGGCCCTCACTGGTTTGGCCAACTGGTTAGATCTTGGCCCATGGATCAAAGGGCCTTGGGTTCAATGATCAGTCAGGGCATGGACCTCAGGGCAGGGTCCAAGCCTGGGTAGAGACGGGTGTGGGAGGCAACCAAGCAGCGTGTCGCTCACATGTACTGAGTGTGTGGTGTGAGGGTGTGTGTAAGAGAGACTGTGTGGTGTGAGGATGTGAGTGTGTGTGAGAGAGAGACTGAGTGTGTGGTGTGAGGGTATGTGAGAGAGACTGAGTGTGTGGTGTGAGGGTGTGTGTGAGAGAGAGACTGAGCGTGTGGTGTGACAGTGTAGGTGTGTGGTGTGAATGTGTGGTGTGAGGGTGTGTGTGTGTGAGGGTGTGTGTGTGAGGGTGTGTGTGAGGGTGTGTGTGTGGTGTGAATGTGTGGTGTGAAGGTGTGTGTGTGTGAGGGTGTGGTGTGAGGGTGTGTGTGTGGAGTGAGGGAGTGGTGTGAGGGTGTGTGTGTGGTATGAATGTGTGGTGTGAGGGTGTGGTGTGAGGGTGTGTGTGTAGTGTGAATGTGTGGTGTGAGGGTGTGGTGTGAGGGTGTGTGTGTGAGGGTGTGTGTGTGTGAGGGTGTGGTGTGAGGGTGTGTGTGTGAGGGTGTGGTGTGAGGGTGTGGTGTGAGGGTGTGTGTGAGGGTGTGTGTGTGAGGGTGTGTGTGTGTGAGGGTGTGTGTCTGTGGTGTGAATGTGTGGTGTGAGGGTGTGTGTGAGGGTGTGTGTGAGGGTGTGGTGTGAGGGTGTGGTGTGAGGGTGTGTGTGTGAGGGTGTGTGTGTGTGAGGGTGTGGTGTGAGGGTGTGTGTGAGGGTGTGTGTGAGGGTGTGTGTGAGGGTGTGTGAGGGTGTGTGTGAGGGTGTGTGTGAGGGTGTGTGTGAGGGTGTGTGTGAGGGTGTGTGTGAGGGTGAGAGCTCGCACAGCTGCATGTGCTGGCGCCTCGCCCTGGTCCCGGAGCCCAGGCCGGTCTGAGCAGCCGCCCGTGTGCCCGCAGGCACGGCCAGGCGGGGCGGCCGGGCGGCGGGGGAGGCTCACCTTGTCCGAGTAGATGGACATGCGGGTGGTGAGCCCCAGCACGGGGATGCGGTAGAAGCCGGCGGTGTAGGACACGGGCGTGGGCGTGAAGTGCTCGTTGGGGGTCGGAGGGTGGCTGACGAGGATGGCGTAGACCTGCGGAGAGGGCAGCGTCAGCGTGAGCGTCACCGGCAGCGTCAGCGTCAGCGCGAGCGTGGGCGGCCGTGCCCTCACCTGGGCCGTGTCCGGCAGGGCGCGGGCGGGGGCGCCATCTGTGCCCACAGGCAGCACCCCGCCCCGCCTGAGATCCACAAATGGCGGGTGAGTCAGAGGCAGAGGCGGCCAGGCTGGTGGCGCTGAAGACAGTCAGCGGCAAGGCACCCCCCTCACAGACAGGGTGAGGCCCGCCCCTCACAGACAGGCTGAGGCCCGCCCCTCACAGACAGGGTGTGAGCCCCGCCCCCTCACAGACAGGGTGAGGCCCCGCCCCCTCACAGACAGGGTGAGGGCCCCCCTCACAGACAGGCTGAGGCCCGCCCCTCACAGACAGGGTGTGAGCCCCGCCCCCTCACAGACAGGGTGAGGCCCCGCCCCCTCACAGACAGGCTGAGGGCCCCCCCCTCACAGACAGGGTGAGGGCCCCCCCCTCACAGACAGACTGAGGACCCGCCCCCTCACAGACAGGGTGAGGCCCCGCCCCCTCACAGACAGGCTGAGGCCCCGCCCCATCACAGACAGGGTGTGAGCCCCGCCCCCTCACAGACAGGGTGAGGCCCGCCCCTCACAGACAGGGTGTGAGCCCCGCCCCCTCACAGACAGACTGAGGCTCCCCCCTCACAGACAGGGTGAGGCCCCGCCCCCTCACAGACAGGGTGAGGCCCCACCCCCTCACAGACAGGGTGAGGCCCCGCCCCCTCACAGACAGGGTGAGGCCCCACCCCCTCACAGACAGGGTGAGGCCCCCCCCTCACAGACAGGCTGAGGACCCGCCCCCTCACAGACAGGGTGAGGGCCCCCCCTCACAGACAGGCTGAGGCCCCCCCCTCACAGACAGGCTGAGGCCCCGCCCCATCACAGACAGGCTGAGGCCCCCCCCCTCACAGACAGGGTGTGAGCCCCGCCCCCTCACAGACAGGCTGAGGCGCCGCCCCTCACAGACAGGGTGTGAGCCCCGCCCCCTCACAGACAGACGGAGGCCCGCCCCCTCACAGACAGACTGAGGACCCGCCCCCTCACAGACAGACTGAGGACCCCCCCCTCACAGACAGGGTGTGAGCCCCGCCCCCTCACAGACAGGGTGAGGCCTCGCCCCCTCGCAGCCGGGGTGCAGGTCCAGGGCGGCCCTGCTCTTACATAAGCGGCTGCATTGCGGTGTCCCGCAGGCTCATTGGCATTCAGCGGTCGTGCAGGGCGGATGGCTCCCATTGCGCCACCCCAGTCGTGTCCTCCCCCGCAGCCTGGCTGCCTGGCTTCCCCGCTGTGCCCGCTGCCTCCCGCCCCAGCCCTGCTCCCGCCTCCAGCACTGGCATGTCCCCAAACGGGCAGACCCGTGGCCGGGGCGGGAGGAGGGGAAGGGGGACTAGAAGCCAAAGCAATGATGCCCGGGGCGCCATCCTGCTCAAAGCCCTGCTTCTCTGGCTGGACAGGCGCCTCCGCTGGACCCGGAGCCCCATTCCCCCCCCCACACACACACCGACTGCCGGTCACACGTCTGCACACACTGGTCAGGCCTGAGCCCTTCTGAGGGGTCCCTGGTGGGTGGCAGGTGCCCAGTCTGGGGGCCAGATGGACGCTGGCTGCCAATGAATCCAGCCCCTCCAGCCCGAGGCAGCTGACGGGCCCTCTCCGCGGGGGGGAGGGGGGGGAGAGAAGGAGGAAGAGGAGGGCTGGAAGGTGGATGGAGAGGGAAGGGGAAGAGGGAAGGGGGAGGGGGAGCTGGGGCAGGGGCGCACCTGGCTGGAGATGAGGTCCTCGCACACGGACAGGGCCATCTGGATGGCGTTGGGCTTGTGGGTGACGGACGTGGCGTTGAGCTGGATCTTCCAGGCGCCGTGCCGCTTGTTGGCCTGGTTCACGGCCTCGCGGAACACCTGCTCGTGCTTCCGCGTGCTCAGCACCGCGCCGATGTTGACGATCTTGGGGTCGCAGGCGGCGCGGGCAAAGGAGCAGGAGAAGAGCAGCGCGAGCGGCAGCAGCCGCATCCTGCTCATGGGCGGCGGGCGGCGCGGGGCCCGGCGCCTCCCCGACCCCAGCGGGGGCCCCGGCCGGCCTGCGCGAACCCGACCCCGCGGGCGGCGGGCGCCGGGTCCCCGGAGCCTCAGGCCCGGGGCGTCCTCGGGAGGGAAAGGGGTCAGGCGCCCTCGGCCTGAGGAGGGACCGTCCTGGGCGCGCGCGGGTCCGGGCACCGAGCGCCGGCGCTGTCCGCGGTGCTGACGGTGCGGGTCCTGACGCTGCGGCGACTGCGGCAGCTGCGGAGCCGGGAGCGGGACCGCGTCTCCCGCCCCGCCCGCCGCCCCCGCTTCCTAACACGGAGCCGTGGGGGCGCCTCCCGCGCCGGAGCGAGCGCGCCGCCGGCGAGCCTGTGCCAGCGCGGGGCGCGCGGGGGAGCCCGGCGCTGCGGGTGCGGGTGCTGGTGCAGGTGCGCGCTCCGTGGAGGCGTCGCAGGGACAGAGCCCGAGCTGTGAGCGGCCCGCGGGGGGCGGAGTAAGGGGGACTTCCCGCGTCACAGTGCGCGGCCCCGGGTGGCTCTGAACACGACCGCATGCTGCGTGCCCGTGTGTGTGCGCGCCTGCGGGCACGAGCCCTCCTCCTCCTCCTCCTCCTTCTCCCCCTCCTCCTCCTCCGGGATATTTCGGGAACATTCTGGGGCTGGAGACCCAGGGTGTGGAGGGGCCTCAGCCACATCCTCCTGGAAGAGCGGGGGGGCGGGGGCTCTCTTCTCCAGAAGCTCAGACATGAGGGACTCCCCACCTGCCTGGCCTGAGACTTGGACCCCCCCCCCCCAAAGGCTGAAGGGAACAGAAGGATGGCAGGCTGCCGGGCGAGCTGGACCTCCCAGCAGAGTCTGGGGGTCTGGCCCCAACCCCGCAGTGGGGAGACCAAGGAGCAGTGGCCTCAGCAGCAGAGGGGACTGAGGTTAGACTCCAGGAGGGACCTGCGGGTAGACGTGTGTCTTCTGCTCCCCCCCCCCCGGAAGGCGCCTCCTAATTCCCTCCCCGCACCCCCATCCTACCTCCCTCCAGAGCCCCGCTCCTCCCTCTGGTCCTGGTGACCCTAATTCTTTGTCCCCTCCACCCCCAGACCTGCTCCCCTTCCCTAACCAGAAGGATAACGGAAGCTCCGCCCCCGCCCGTGACATCACCGTTTCCAATAGCAACTGAGGGCTTTTGCTGCATTCCCAACAGCAGAAGCCCCCCCAGTGGGGACAAAGCAGGTCGCCCCCACTCCTCAGTGCCGCTCTGAGCGAGGAGAGGGGAGGTCCACGCCTGGCCCGCCAGCCCCCCTCCCCTCGCATCCCCTGCCGTTCTCACACCGGGCTGAGCCCCCGGAGCCCAGCGCGGGCCTGGCACAGAGTCGGCTGCAGCTTGGCGGGCTCCCCCTCCGCCCATTCACCTCAGTGAGGGAGGCAGGGCCTGAGGCTGATGGCTCACATCCTGTGCAGCCCCTCCCGCCTCTCTCTGCGATGGAGGCTCACCGTGGGGAGACCCCCAGCCCCCCAGCCCTGAGGATGCTTACTGCTCCCAGGGCTCACCGAGGGCCCAGAGCTGGCCCCGGCCCCAAAGGGTCTGTGGCCCTGGCAGGCCCCAGCCTGGAGGCTGCCTGGGTGCAGGGGGTGGACGGCCAGTGGGTCAGCCAGCACAGGGGCAGGGGGCGGGGGTTGGTGCCGAGCTGCGGGCCTGTCTCTCCCACCTGCCCACCCCCTCCTCCAGTGGGAGCTCCACGGACCCAGAGAAGCAATTTCTAAACATCCAGGACCCTGTGAGCCGGGGGTTATGCAGCGGGGAGCCTGCATGTGGGTGGGAGGGGGGAAGGGAGAGTGTTTATCCAGGGGAGCCGTCAAACCCCGCACAGCAGGGCCCTATTTCCGTCAAAATGGGGCATCAGCACCCCCTGCCCCCCCCCCCATCCCCCAGGCCCAGGGGCTGCAGCTTCTGCTTGGAGCCCCTCGCCAGCTCCCCGACACCCAGGGGAGGGGGAGGCCAGGCCTGCCCCTGGATCACAGGCTCCTGGCAGGAGCCAGGCTCCCGTGTTGAGCTGGAGGCTTCCTCCACCCCCATCATGGGTTGGGGTGAAGCTAGAGAAAGTCTTTTTTAAGAAAATGTATTTTTAAAAATGGATTTCAGAGAGGAAGAGGGAGGGACAGAGAAGTAGGAACATCAGTGATGAGAAACACTGATCGGCTGCCTCCTACACGCCCCGGACTGGAGATCCAGCCTGCAATCCAACGAGGGTTCAACCAGGAACCGAACCTCAGCCTCCTGGTTCATAGGCCGATGCTCTCACCACTGAGCAGACTGGCCAGGGCTGGAGGAGGCCTTTGACTGGCTGCCCTGCCTTGGCAGATGAACTGGCTGAGACAGGGGGGAGGCCCAAGGAGACCTGAGCCCCGGCCTCTGCCCAAGGGCTCCCCGTGGGGTGTTCTTGGGGTGCACAGCCCCCCATGCTGACTCATTCTGCCCAACAACACGTGGAGGGACCCGCTCCCGCCCCTCCCTCACTCCAACCACCAGCACTCCAGTAAGGGCTGTCAATCATCAACACAGCCCCTCCTTGGTCTTAGCCCATTGGCTGAGGGAGTGTCACATGGCCCAGGCAGACCAATCCAGGTTCTTCCCCAGGATTTTAGCCAGACAGAGCCTAGGACAGGAGCCCACATCTGCTCCTCTCTGGGGGTTCGCCCTGAGGACAGGGCTCTCGCGCCCCGGGAGACACAGTTCTGCTGGGAGGAAGCCAGTTGGCGAGGATGCCAACAGGCCGGCCTGGCAGGTGTGCGGGAGGATGCTCAGACACCTTCCCAGGCCCAGGATGAGCCTTCTTCCCAAGGCCCCTGCTGGGAGGGCCCCCTCCAAACTGGGGTGGGGGGGCTGGCTGCCAGAAGGCCTCATCGGGGTCTCTGTTCCCTGATCTGGGGAGACCTGAGGGCCTCCCAACCCGGAGCAGCTGCCGACCCCGGCGGTGCTGACAGCCAGGCACACACCCTGTCCGCACGACGTCACCGCCTGCCTGCCCCGGGTCCCTCGCCCGGGAAGCCATCTTCCCAGCATCACAGGGTCCCTGCACATCCCAGGTGGGCAAGACCCATCACCTTCCCTCACCCACAGGCATGACTGGCACCTACTGCACACCAGGCACAGCCCAAAGGGCTGGGCAGCAGCAGCAGCCAAGTTAGACCCGACTCATCCGCCCGCCAACGAGGACCTCAGACCACTGCATGCAGCGTCAGGCACTCGGGGAAAAGGAAACCGGAAGGCCGGCGTGGCCCCATGGTGGAGCATCGACCTGTGAACCAGGAGGTCAGGGTTCAACTCCCGGACATGGCACCTGCCAGGTCGTGGGCTCCATCCCTAGTGGGGCGTGCAAGAGGCAGCTGATCTGTGATTCCCTCTCCTCATTGAGGTTTCTCTCTCCCACCTCCCTTCCTCTCTGAGATCAATAAAACATCTATACAGGGTATGGATCGTACAGAGCGGGGAGGGCGGAGAGGAACCAGCTGGGTTCCGGGACCGGTTTCGTTGCCTGATCTCCAATCGAGGGTCTTGGTCCAAGACCTACGACAAAGAATAACCATCGCTTTATTTCCGACATTCGCCTGTGTTACAATCCGCCGGTGCCGCCTGAGCCTCCGTTGGGTCCAAGGCCCAGCGGCCCGTCCCAGGATGGAAGGAAGTCACACTGGACCCAGCGGCTCGCGGCCTCGGTGCACACACGTCAGTTTAATCCGCAAAATCCCTGCCGCGGGAAACCTCGTGTCACACGTCGCGTCCTGTGGCCTCGCTGTCTGTCCTCGGCAAGGAGGCGGGATTTGGGAAAACCTTCAGCCCCGGTGCTTCTGGGACCCCGTGGAGGTTCGCGGGGCTCTCCTGCGGGGCCGGGAGCAGGAGTGCGGCCACTTTGAGCCCCGATGTGTCCCCGGTGGTCTCGGGGTGCCCACAGGCCCCGTCTGGCAGGGGGAGGTCCATTGGAGTGGCTCCCCGCGGCCGTGTGCGGACAGAAGTGCGCTCGACGTCCATCTCCCTCCTCGTCCTACCTGCCCCAGTGCATTCTGGCCCCGGCATCCAGTCCAGCCGGTCACCGGCCACCAGGAAGCTGCCCCCAAGCAGCCGCAATGGAACGGCCCCGGGACCTCGGAGCCCTCCCTGTCCTCAGCGAGGCTGTCCCCGGGGGAGGGTCCCACGTGTGTTCTGTCCAGTGAAAGGGCCCCTCCCACCCCGCCTCAGACATGGAAGCAGCTGTCCAGGCTCCAGCGGAACGTGATCCTCCTCTTCCTGGCCTTCCTGCTGTGCTGTGGGCTCCTGTCCTACCTCAGCGTGGCCGACCCGTGGACAGGTACCCGCCCAGGAGCCCGGGGGCTGCGGAGAAGCCGAGGCAGCAGCGGCTGAGACAGCCCGGGAGCCGTGAAGGGCAGGGACTGGGCAGCACACCCAGGGGAAGGGGCGTTGTGTCCCCAGCCTCCTGGCTGGACACGGCATGGCTGCGAGTCCTCGGGCTGCTCCCGCGTCTGCCGTGGGCAGGTGTCCGCCCACCCGCTGCCCTGAGCTGCGGGTTTGACAGGAAGCTGACAGGCTGCTGCGGGCCCAGAGTCCTGCCCCGAGTGGAAACGTCCGGGCCACGCCGTGGGGCTGTGGGTGGGGGTGCGGACAGACAGCCACGGGCGGGAGAAGGGGCTCTCTCTCCGGCTGCTCTTGATGGCACGTGGGGGCCGCCTGGGCCTGAGGGTCCTTGGTGAGGAGGCAGGAAGCAGGCGGGGTGTCCAGGGAGCTCTGAGGTCCTCGGGGCCTGGGCGCTGGAGCTGAGGCGGGCCTCTGGTTCAGCCCCGCATGGCAGGCCGGCGGAGGAGAAGGGGAGGCCCGCACACCCGCCCGCCTTGCCGGCTCCTCGGAAGGCAGATGCCGACCCGGGACAGGGCCCGCGGCCGCCGCCTCAGGTACGTGGCACTGGTGTGGTCAGGCGGGCACCGGCTCGGTCCCAGAGGCCTGGGGACAGGACGCGGGTTCCCACCGATGGCCAGGACTGTTCCCGCATCTGATGGGCGTCTCCCCCTCACACATCCGGGTGGTCCGGCGGCCCCTGGGGAAGGAGGAGGCGGGTCTCCCTTCCACCTGGGCTGTGTGCCTGCTGCTCCCGGGCCTGGGTTTGGTGGTGAA